CACCGCTGATGCCCTGGGTACGTGTCAGTGAGGAGGAGAGTCAGAATTCGAACTCAGAACTGTTTGGTTTTGTAGGCCAAGATCTTGCACCTAAAATAAAACATCAGGAGCTGGCCGACAAAAGGAAGGTTCTAGAAGGAAACAACACCCAAGAGACCATTGGCAGGGATAGCTGAGGTCCAGGGATAGGAGGAAGTTATAGTTTTTCCTGTCCACTCTCTTGTACTGTTTTTTTTTCTATTGAAATCTTCTTTTTTTAGAAGATTTCTTTTATTTATTTATTTTTTTAGAGAGGGAAGGGAGGGAGAAAGAGAGAGAGAGAGAAACATCAATGCACGGTTGCTGGGGACCGTGGCCTGCAACCCAGGTGTGTGCCCTGACTGGGAATTGAACCTGCGACATTTTGGTTTGTAGCCCTCGCTCAATCCACTGAGCTACGCCAGCCAGGGCTCTCTTGTACTGTTTTTAAAATATAGTGTTACTCTTTCAAAACAAAACAAAAACCATTTTTAAGGACCTGCCATAAAAGGCAACACCCTTTTGTACGGCCCCTGGGTTGAGGTCCTCGGCACCCGTCGACTGCCGTGAGGGCAGGAGGTCCGCTTGCAGGGGAGAAGGGAAGGCAAGCGGGAGCGCGGAGGGGTCGGGGTGCTCAGCAGGAGAGGGGCCCAGGAAGAAGTGGCGGCCAGACCTCTGAGTGTGAAAGAGCCACTTTCCCCGAGATGACGCGAGAATGCCAGTGGTCCCTGGGCACGGCGTCACAGAACCCCCACTCCGTGGGGTCAGAAAGAGGCCGGGGCGGGGGGAAGGGGGTGGAGAAGGGAGTGGAGGGGAGAGATGCAGAGCACTCGCAGCCGGGATATGCATCTATGCCCTTCGCCCACCTCCTGGTCCGTGTGGCCCAACGGCAGCCCCAGCCCCAGCCCCAGGCACACACAGCTGCCCCAGGGGGCAGGGGATGGAGTGAGAGCTCAGGGCCCCATCTCTGCAGGCCTCATCTACATCCTGCTCAAGCACATGGTGGACCGGCACAACCTCTACTTCGCCTACCTCCCAGCCAAGCTGGAGAAGAGGCTCCACTTCGCGGCCGTGAACCAGGCCTTGGCTGCCCCCATCCTGTGCCTCTTCTGGCTCTACTTCTTCTCCTTCCTGCGCCTGGGTGAGGGGCCCTCCCAACCCAAGGGAGGGGAGGGGGGCAGCCCTGGGCCTCACCCTCCTGTATTTATACCAGCCGGGCAAACCCCTCACTGCTGTAACAGCATCAACTCAGTGTCCAATCGGAAGGTGGCGTCCAGGGTGAGGGCTGGCTGGGGGCAATGCTGAGAGCCTGGGCTAGCCCAAGCTCAAGTGGAACTCTGGAGAAGGCCAGGCGGACTGCCCCAGACAGCCTGAGGGAGAAGAAGGCGGTCACTGTATCAACTTTGGAGGGGCTGAACCCGAGGAGATGGGGCAGCTGGTTCTGATGGCTCTTTGGCAGGGGTGGACGGGTCCAGGTCCCCATACATCACAGGGACCTGCAGGAGGGAAAACCCACCCTCTTGGGAAAAAGAAAAAGGCAGGAGAGAGGTGTGACTCTGCCCCAGCCAGCTGCGGGAGCCCCCACCCCCCCAACCGAGGACATGGGAAGCTGCAAGGAACTGACCCAATGAGGAAGCTGGCAAACAGCCACTGGCTGGGCCTCCGGGTGCCTGAAATCTGAGCGGACACAGTGCTGGCTGCTCAGCAGGCCCTGTGCTCCTGGCTGTGAAGACACCACCTGGGCCACTCATGGGGAGGGGGGTGGGGGGTGGGGCATTTCTTTGTTGTCTGCCCGAGGGAGCAGTCACCCATGGTTCCTGTCCCAGGTGTGGGCCCCTCTGTCCCCGGGGTGCGGGTGAATGGCAGCCGCGCCCCCCTCCTCCTCTGAGGCTGGCACCCCATTGTCCCCAGGTCTGACAGCCCCTGCCACCCTGTTTACCTTCCTGGTCATGCTGCTCACCATCCTGGCCTGCCTGGGCTACACCTGCTTTGGGTGCTTCAAGCACCTCTGCCCTCTGAACTACAAGGTAAAGGGCCCCTCCCCCCGTCGCCACCCAGCTGGGGCCTGGGAGGAGGTGTGGGTTTGCTCTCTGCCCCTCCTCCACCCAGCCACTTATCAACAGCCTTTTCCAGGTTTTATTTGTCTGCAGGAAAGGCGTGGGTAGTTGGGTATAACGTGTGCCTTCCCTCCCCACCCCCTTCCCTGCCCCGGCCCCCCCATGCCCTCTCAGGCTGCCGCTGGGAGCCGGGTGCCAGCTGGTACTATTGTTCTGAGTGTTAACAGTCTGCTGGTTCGGAGGGCGTGGGTTCGGGAAGATCAGTTCTGTTTATCATTGGGAAGTTTCTGCTGTTGTCTGCAGACCGAAGAGCCGGCAGGCGACAAAGGGAGTGAGGCACAGGCCCACGCACCCCCACCGCACACGGTGAGTTGCGGTTCTCCCCCGGCACCCAGCACGGGCGGCGGCCCCAGCCGGACAGGGCCTGGCACACACGCTTGGATCCTCTCGTGTCAACAGAGAGGTCCCTTGGTGGCGTGTCAGGCAGGGTGCTGAATCGATGTCACTGGAGAAGGAGCCCCTGGCCCCTCTGGGTGCTGTAACTTGCACAGGTGAAGCCACGTGCCTTGCCCAGAAGAGGGAGGCTCATTGGTGCCAGCAGGTGCGCCCATCCCCCTTGGTTTCGGTTCCCTGCTCGCCTTCCCGCCCTGCATATTTAATGCCTCTCGAGCTTGGGCCTCTCCTGAGGCCGTATCGCCAGGCCCCAAGGCTCGGTGGCTCTTATCACAAGCGTTTCAGCAGTGATGCCCTCTGCGGGGTCGAAACCAACCCCCCCTTGGAATTCCATGAATGAACGAGACACCTGCTTCAGAGCAGGTGCTGTGTTGGAGACACACCAGGTGTCCTTTCCGCCCTGGCCGTCCCTGCCTGTGGCCTCCAGGGTCCCGCTCCCAGGGAGGGAAAGGGAGCCACCTGGCAGGGCTGGGGCTGCGGACAGTGAGCCGCGCATCGGCGGTGTTCCTCCCGGGGGCTGCCTGCCGGGTGTCGGGCCCCTTTAGATCAGTGTGTGTCTTTGGACCAGCCCCAGAGAAGGTTCTCGGGAAGACTCATTACCCAGAGGCCCGTGTGGCTGGGCCCTGCCAGCCGTAGGGAGAGGCGGGGCAGAGGGATGAGGGAAGCCCCTTATTCTCAGCCTGGGTCTGGGGAGGGGCAGAGCGGGGCTGTGCCCCTGGGGTCAGCAGCGGGAGCCTGGGGATGGAGAGAGGAGCAACCGCCACTGATTGGCTCAGCGTCCCAGCGTCCCGTCCATGGCGTTCTGAGCCGGTCCTGGGTAGACAGGCTTGTTTCCCACGTAAAATGAGCAATTCTCCTGGGACCCAGGACTACGAACACTTGTTTCTCCTGAGAAACGGGTGTGTGTGCTTCTTTCTCCACGATCGTGAGAACTGTGTGATTGTGATTGCATTTTCTGTTTTGCTCCGGCTGCCAGGAAATTCTGCAGTGGGCACCCTTTGGGTCCTGACATCCTCGGTCGACATTGTTTCTTTGTGCGTCCTTCAGGAGCATTGTGTGCCTCCTGGAAGGAGGGGGCCCGTGGGGGAGGAACGGGGGCAAACAGGGGTGCAGCCTCTCAGGCCCGCCCCACCCAAGCGCTAACACTCTCCTCTCGTTTGCCGACAGCCCTACGTGCCCCGGATTCTGAACGGCTTGGCCTCAGAGAGGACCGCCCTGTCCCCACAGCAGCAGCAGACGTACGGAGCCGTCCACAACATCAGCGGGACCGTCCCCCGGCAGAGCCCGGCCCAGAGCCCCGCGGACAGCGTGGCAGCTGCCTACCAGGAGGCCTGAGGCGGGCCAGCGGCTGGGCTGGGCCGGGCCGGGCTCAGGGAGCCAGGAGGTGAGAAGGCACAGGTGGAGAAGTCGCTTGACGTTGACCCCAGCCACGTTCAGGACTTGCTTTTTAAAGCTCCACAGCTTTGCAAAGGCGGAACCAGGCAGGAGAGGACTCTGGCCCTTGGTTTGGGGCAGGGTTGCCATCAGGTGATTTTTAGCAAGATCATGTACTGGAATGGCCCCCTCCCGGCCTGTTGGCCGTGGGGGACGCTCAGGTAACTGGAAGAACATGACAAGTAGAAGACCTCCCCTCTGAGCACGCAGACACCACCCTCCCAACTGATAACCAAAGAGCCATGGTGGGCCCGGGCCTGAGATGGGGTCCAGAAGGTGGTCAGGGTCACTGCGGCACCCCCTCCCCCAACCCTGATGCGTTCAGCAGTGCGCCCCAGGCCTGTCCCGGGAGTGAGCTGTGGGGAGCAGAGCTGGCCCGAGCAGGCCCTGCGGGGCGCACATGCCTCCGCACCCCGCGGTGGTCCCCCGTTTTCCTGTCGTGTTGCCGGTAACCCTGTGGTTGGGCCAGGCCGTCCCGCAGCGGTCAGGGACAATGCCAATGACTCACAAAGTGCCTCTTCAGCCAGACCGGCGAGACCCAGCCTTTCCTGTCTCTTCAGGGCCAGTGCGTGAGGCTGCACCTCCAGCCCTTGATGCCATCTGTCTGCTCCCTCCAGGGGCGTGATGGGCAGAGCGGTGCTCAGGGAACCCCTGGAGCCCAGGGAGGACTGTGGCAGGGACGGGAGGAGGGGGTCCCTGGGCCGGGTGCAGGGCTGTGCACCGCCCTTGAGCTGTGACCCCAAAGGAAGGACGGGCAGTCCCTTGCCTTTCCCCTCCCCAAAGGATCCCGGGGCCGAGACAACTGGGCACTTGCAGAGATGCTGCCTTCCTGCTGCCTCCAGGGGGTGCCAGAGTTGCCAGCAGGCTCTCGGGTGGGGGTTGGGGGGGGCTGCCTCCGTCCCCAGAGGTGGGCCCGGCAGGGTCGGATCTGGGACATCACTTAGTACCCTGGCTTCTGCTCTGCTGCCCTGGGCACCGGACAGGGACCCCCCCCTGCCCATTTGGGGTCAGGGCACAAGCACGTCACTTGGTTTCAGCTGCTCTTCAAAGTAAAACTATTTATCATCAAAGCCATGTTGCTTAACACGTATGTGGGGGAGTGCGTGCGGAGGTGGTGAGTGGGGGAGGGGTCCCGGATGGGTAGGGGACGGAAGCAGACCCGTTCCTCAGGCAAGGGGCACCTTCACCGAGGGGAGACGGAGGCCGCTCCCCGCCAGCCCTGCTCCGAGGGTAGTGGCACCGGGAGACGGCTTCCGGGAGGAAGGGCCGGTGTCAACGAGGGAGCCCGCCACGGAGGGGCGTCACTGCCGCTCCACCAGCCCCACGAACTTGCAGATGTCCTGGGCCAGCAGCTCCGGCTCCTCGAAGGCAGCGAAGTGGCCCCCGCGGGCCATGTAGGAGTAGGAGATGAGTTTCGGGTACTTGACCCTCACCCACTTCTCCGGGGCATGCAATAACTCACAGGGGAAGGCAGCAAAGCCTGTGGGCACGTAGACCTTCATCCTGGAAGGGACAGAGATACCGCTGAGGGGGCAGGCTGTGGCCTGGCCGCCTGGCCATCGCAGCAGGGGGTTCAGGAGCCTGGGAGTGAGGGTCAGCTGGCCCACCCACCCACAGACAGCCATAAAGCCACCCCCCTCTCTTCCAACCCACTAAGAAGCCCCTTTTCTGGAAGGGCTGCCCAGGCTGGAGACAGGGGTGGGACGGCCTCACTCCCCACCTTTGTTTCCCTTTCCCTCAGCTGTCCCGAGGGTCTCCGTATGAGTTTAGGAAAGATGGACAGGGAGGTCCCAGAACCCTCGTACCACGCAGGGCCAGCCTCCTGGCCCTGGGGAGCCCGGGTTCCTTCCAGGAGCCGAGTCTGAAGGCAGAGGGGTTTCCCCAAACGCCCCGGGGCCTGTGCTCTCTCCCTGCACACCCAGGGCACCCCCAGGGCACCCCGCAGGCCAGGCTGTGCTTTTCTGTCGTCGAATGTCCTCCCTCGAGCTCGAGGCCAGGTGCACCCCCCAACCCCCGCCCCCTGCCTTGGAGGGCCCCTCCCCAGGGGCAGGCTCACCGATGGTGCTTGTCAGACAAGAAGTTGCCTCCCATGTTCTCCTTGTAGAAGCGCTGGGAGGAGGTGATGGTGCCCGTGGTCCAGTAGATCATGACGATGGTCAGCAGGTCGTCCAGGGAGAACTTCCTGGGAAAGCAGGAGGGCCCTCTCAGTGCCAGCTGTACAGCGAACAAGAGCTGCCACTTTGGCTGCAAGCATTTGCCAGGCTCCGTGCCCACCTGGCTTGTTTCCTCAGCCCTCGCTGCAAGGTCAAGGGTATTGTCCCCACGCCACAGGCAGGGCAGACTAGGCCCAGCGTTGCCATCCACCACGATGGCAGGTAATGAAGGCAGAAGGCTGGCCACGTATGAGGCGGGCTCTGCTGGTTCTCACTGTCATCCTGGGTGGTGGTCGCCACCCCTCCCCCCACCACCCACAGGGGCTCCCCCGGGTGGGAAGGAGCAGGCGAGGTCAGCTGAGCCCAGGGGCCTTGAGGGCTCACTACCGGGCTCCAGGAGGTCTGTGAGCAGGACGCTGCACCCCCTGCTCAGAGGCGGTGCCCCGTGTCCTCTGTGCAGACCGCCCCAGACCATCCCAGATGGGACAGCCCCTGCCAGGCCCTGGGCAGGCCTGGGCTCCAGGCAGCCCTTGGAGCCCCTGGACCTGCCCCGGTCTGGCCCCGGGAGCAGCAGGGCAGAACCAGCTGTTCCTGGTTTCATCCGCCAGCCCCCCAGCCTGCTCACATGCCTCCTGCCAAACTTGGGTCACCCCAGGAGGGAGACATGGGGCCCTGCAGAGATCCCCTTCAGCATGAGACACCCCCTTTCTCTCTGGCCTGGGGCTGCTGAGCAGGCAGACCCTGCCCATGCCGCAAACGGTCCCTTGGCTCTCACTGTTGGCGCACGGGGTCTGTGGGCTCTGGAAAGCCCCCCATTCTCCCGGTGCTGGGCTCCCCACCCCACCCTGCGTCCAGAGACCCCTGGAGCCCTCCGTGGCCTCCCCTCTGTCCACTGGTGCCCACTGGCTGTGTCTCCTGGGCCCCCACTTTTCCTCACTACTCTCCCCCACCCTGTTGTCCACTCCGCCCAGACCCTCTAGTTTCCATGACACTCACCCCTTCAGTGTTGCCCCCCACACCGTGGCCTTGTGCCACCTGGACCCACCTGACAGTTCACAGACCTGGAGGACTCCAGCCCTGCTGAAGGGTCTGTTACAAATCCGTGCTCCCAAATTTTGGCTGCCTCCTCCTCAGAGGGTCCTGACCCTTGGTGCCCACCCCCAGCCTCCTGCCTTCCCTGCCTTTGTCCTTGAGGAAATCCAAGTCCACGCAGCCGCTGCTTGCCCCAGGCCCCTCTCTGCTGGACCCCGACTCGGGGGCTCAGCGCCTCCACCCGGTGAGGATGGATAAAGGGCAGTGGGTGCGGAAGGTGCCGCCAGGGCAAGAGGTGCACAGGGTCTCACCCCAAGAGGCCGCCGTCCTCCCGGTCTCGGAACTCTGTGTTGGTCCAGGTGGAGAACTTCTCCAGAAGGTAGGCCGCCAGTCCCGCTGGAGAGTCATTCAGGGCACAGCCTGGCGTGGAAGAAGCCGCAGCGGCTCAGGCCTGGGACCAGGGCACTGGCCGTGAGGACTGGGGGGTGGCGCAGGCCCCACAGAGCGGTCCCGCAGCCAGGGAGCCCTTGGTGGGGCGCAGCTCTGCCCTGACGCTTGGGGGGGCTCCCGCACCTCGCTTCCTTAACCTTTGCCTTGGGATCCTCGTGTCTGATGGAAGGGGTAGTGCCTCCCCACGGCCTCATGCACTATGGGAAGTTTCCATCAAACAGGATGGTCTTCAACTCTGGGTTTTGGGAGATCCACATGAGACATATGTTTTCTAATAGGTGGGGTTTGGGGGTTTATAGGCTATGATTAGTGAAAAAATGAGAAGCAACCCAAAAGTGCAACATTAGGGACCAGTTACAAATGAGTATCGGTCCACTCACCTGCTGGGCAGGCAAGAAAAATGCTAGGACAGCAGCGTGGGAGAGTTTCTCCAACGTGACATGAGTCAAAAGAAGCCAGAGCTCAAAGAGGTTCCTGCTCTAGAATCCCACTTCCTGTCTGTTTCAAGTCAGCAGGGCGGCGCCCTGGAGGGCTGGGGGAGGCCTTTTCTGCAGCCGGCGGGGTGCGGGGGGGGTGGGGGGGGCGCTGCAGGGCTGGCAGGTCAGGCCCTGTTTCTGGTTATACAGGCAGGTTCCCTTGTCAAAAGCCATCAGCCAAAATGTTAGCAAGTTCGCTCCAAGGCTGGAGATGAGGGAGGCGGGGCAGGATGAGAGGTGGCAGGCGACTGTTATTTCTCGTTTGTGCTTTTCGCATCTTCCACTTTTTGGGAAGTGAGCACGGATTACTTTTATAATCCAAGGGAAAAGCCGGTTATGAAGTGCTATTTTTCTTTTAACATGACATTTTATTTCTTTTCTTTTTTTTAAAAGATTTTATTTATTTATTTCTAGAGAGAGGGTAAGGTAGGGAGAAAGAGAGGGAGAGAAACATCAATGTGTGGTTGCCTGTCACGTGGCCCCCACTGGGGACCTGGCCTGCAACCCAGGCATGTGCCCTGACTGGGAATTGAACAGGCGACCCTTCGGTTCGCAGCTTGCGCTCAATCCACTGAGCTACTCCAGCCAGGGCTGAAGTGCTCTTTTTATCATGGGTTGCCTGAAGTGTGTGGAGCATGGGCCTGTCTGAGAAGCCGTGAGAGACTCTGAAATGGCCAAAGCTGTTCCTGGTTGCCTTCCGAGTGGGGTCCGGGGAGTTACCCCGTGGGCCCTCCCAGGGTCACCTGACTCTGTAGGGGTCCTCTCTTCCCTTGTTTTAGAGCGACCTGATAGCTCTGTACACTGTAGAAAACAGACAGGTGTGCAAGTGATTTTGCTCACAGAGAAACAACTGGAGGTTTAATTGATTACTGCTGTGGATTGGATGTTTTGCATCTATTAGTCCATTCATTTCAGTGTTCTTAATTGCCTTTGAACTGTTCTACTTTATAGTCTACTGATTTCTTCATTACCGTATTTTGCTGTGTATAATGTGCACCTACGTTTTTGGCCCAAACTTTCAGGGGGGAAAAAATCTTTCATTTTAATTTTTTACTTCAATTTTTAATTTATTTATATTTAGATACTTGTTTTTTTGTATTATAAAGGAATTTAACATTTATTTTTGAACATATTATGGTACAAGCAATTTTATGTAACAAATAGTTACTAAACACAAGAACAGATACAAGGTATTTCAGGTGCGACCCACATATAACGCGCACTCTTATTTTCCCCTCAAAAATTTGGGCAAAAAGTGCGCATGATACATGGCAAAATACATGGTAATAATGAGTTAAGTAAACTCTTTGACATGTGTACATTTTACATTTGTATGATTTTAGTTTTTAAATGTTTTTGTCTTTTTTTTTTTAAGTGACCCTTCGACAGGGCCCTGGTGGCAGAAACGGTTGCTGGGCTCTCCCTTGCTGTTATGGGGTCTCCCTGGGGCCCTGGGGCACCCCTCCTCCACCTCCACAGTCCCATAGGGACCAAGGCCCCAGGCTTCCTCCTCGCCCCACCCCTCTCCATCCCTGGGGCGGAGGGATCGGGGGTCAAAGCCACTAGGAATGTTTAAAGCCGCAAATGCAATCGTTGGGAATCTAGTGACCGCTCACTTCTACGGAAAAACGCAGCGTAAGGGCCCGAGAGCTCTGAGTTCCTCAAAAGAGGCTGTCGCCCTGTTCCTGGGGGGTCGCCCCGTTCCTGGGGGGTCGGAGAGGGCTCCCCTGGGTGGGCGCATTCCCCAGTGGAATGGACGTAAGCCACGCCCCCATCCCCGCCCCCGCGGAGGAGGCCGCCCGCCCGCCCCGCGCGCCCGCGCTCACCCACGGTGTCGGGCTTGGTGCTCTGGATGTGCATGTAGCCGCTCTCCCGCATGAGGCTGTAGAACATCTTCTCCTTCAGAGGGAACATCAGCTCCACGTCGCGCTCGGTGTAGCCCAAAAACGTCTGGAGACGCGCTCCCAGGAAGAGGGTCAGGGTGTAGAAATTTCTTAAAACGAACGCCATGTTCACGTGCAGGCCTTTCACGTGGCTGAGGGCAGGGAGGGGCCGGGTCAGACTCGGCTGCCGCCGGGGGAGGTGGGGAGGGAAGAAACGCGGGAGGAGGAGGAGGCCACCAGGGCCGGCCTGCTCAGCATCTGCCCCTCTCGGGAGGCCGTATGAGGTGAAAGGGTAGGGGCAGGTTGGGGAGGAAATAGTTTCTAGAAAGTTCCAATCAGGTCGCTCAGGGTTTGGTCCATCAGAAAGGTTTATTCCTTCACCTCCCCCTCCTCTAACTGGCCTGGAGTCACCAACTTGGAGGGACATCAGATGGAGGGGATGTCCGTGCCAAAGGGCCCCAGGCAGAGCCCAGTGCTGGGGAACCTCCCTCCTCCCCACCCCCCCCCCACCCCCGGGGGCTCACAGGCCTCCCAGCAAGAGGCTGCTCCGAGGCTCGGACACAGTCCAGGCCGGGCCCAGCGTGAACGACCGAGCTTCCTTACCGATGTCCTACTTGTGGGTGCTGTGCACGCACCTGCACACACACACCTGGAAGGGGCCCTCACCTGGGCGCCAGCTGGGCCATGTTGGTGCAGATCAGGGAGCCCCAGTCCCCGCCTTGAGTGTAGAATTCCTGGAAGCCCAGCCGCAGCATCAACTTGTAAAAGATCCTGGCGACCGCCACCGAGTTCAGGCCTGGTTGCGAGGGCGAGAAAGCAGAACCGTGGCGAGGCCGCTCCTTGGGTTCTCCCGTGCCCTACGAAAATGTTCACACCCCCTTGCCCGGGCTAGGCAAGAGCAGTTCAGGCAGAGAGAAGGAACTGTGGGGCCCAAATGGGGTGGTCAGGGAGTGAGTGGACAGAGGGGCTCCGGCCAGCCCAGCTGAGCCCCTGCGGGCCCACACGGTGTGTGTGGGGCTTGGCCGGCCTTGCTGGCCCGCACCGGTCCAGGGCCCAGAGGCGGACATGCTCTGGAAAGGGGCGCTCCTTGGGGCATTCTCGTCCAGGCCCCCGAGCCAGCCCTGGACAGTCGTGACCTCGACTCTGTCCGGCCCCTGGCCCCCCACCCGCCTCAGGCCCTGCGAGGACGGTGGGGGGGCCCTCTGCGTGAGGGAAACGGCCTCCTCGCTGCTCTGTCCCCCTTCCCCGCCTCCGCGGGCTCTGAAGCAAGCTGCCCCTGCTGACTCCCGGACTCGGCCTCCCAGAAGGAGCGCCCCGTGGGCCCACCTGGCTGCACCAGGTGAGGGGGCGGGGTGGGTCCGCAGCCGCCAGCAGCCTCCCTACCCTTCTTGGAGGCCGCCTCCGAGAAGCCGTAGCCAGGAATGGAAGGGCAGATGACTTCAAACACATGCTTGTCGCCCAGGCCGTGGTTCCTGGGGTCGGTCAGGAGCGGGATGATCTTATAAAACTCGTAGAAGGAGCCGGGCCAGCCATGCACCATCAGCAAGGGCTTCGGGGTGCAGCCGGAGGGTAGCTGGGGGGGCTTCACGTGGATGAAGTGGATGTCCAGTCCTGGGGAGACGGAGTGTCGTCAGGATGCGGGGAGAGGGGACGGCGCCCTGCAGCTGGGGGGCGGGGCTGTGGTCGTGGGCCTCAGGGTACCCAGGGAGGCTCTGCCCCTCCGGAGCTCAGACACGGGGGGCCACCGCCTCTGCCCCCTGCCGCCATGGTGTCCACCACAGTAGTGACAGTCATAACCAGCCACCCTGGCTGCGCTGACTGCACTCCCGCTCCGTGGGTGCCTTTGTTCAGCCTTCGCCGCCACCCTGCAAGGGAGGTGCTTTCCTATGGCCCGTTCATGCGAGAAGGTGAGCTCCGTGAGGCCACGGCCACGGCCGCTCACTTGCTGGTGTCTTCCTAGAGCCCAGAACCGTTCCTGGCACATGGCAGGGCTCCAGAAACACTTCTTCAATAATTTAAAAATCAGGGCGGGGGGAATCCCCACATGTGTGGTGACAGAATTAAATAGACTATAGTTTAGCAGTGTCCCGGAATACAGTCCAGCTGTCTGAAATGCCAGCTGGGTGGATGAGTATTTGTTTGACGGACAGCAGTGCAGTACGATGTAGCACTGCGTGGTGAAAGCAAGCTGCCCATTGTCTGGCCCAATTTCGGTGAACAGTCACAGGTGTGCACATGTTTGTACTGTGCGTGCATATGAATTCTAAAGCCTGGAAGGATAGATTACAAAAATGTAAAAAAAAATTCTCTCTGAGTAGGAGAGTTTCAGGAGCTTCCTTTCCTTTCCTTTTTTTCTCATTTTCTTTTTTGTGTTATGTGTACACTCTAATTTTTCTATGATGGATGTATATTGCACATGTAACTTTTTCTGTAAGTGGAGAAGTTTTTTTTTAAGGTAGAGTATGGGACACGTGGAGTGCCACCCTAGCCAGGGCAGGTGAATGGGTCCCAGGCTCCTCCAAGGCGGAGACACCTGGAGGGCAGCTCTGGCCCAAGCCAGGGGCCCGGGTGGCCCTGGGGGGTCACGGTCAGCACGGACAGGGCTGCTGTCGCAGCTGGAACCCTCCACCTTGAGGGCTGGAGTTGACAGCCCAGTCTGGCTAATTTTGGTCTGTTGTTAATTCACTACACCAATAATACGCATTGGTGGCAGAAAACCATACAAATCAAAAGGTGAAAAAAATAATCACATGTGATCCCACTATCTGAAGAGAACAATGGATTGTCTGTCAAAGCTTTTTAAAAAATAAATGTAATACTTTGGAACAATTTAGATTTCTAGAAAAATAGTAAAGCTAGCACAGAAAGTTCCTCTATTTCCTGCTATTAACAGGTTTCCTGTGACTAGCTTTCCTGCTAGTCACGTTATGTCATGTCATGTTAGCACGATACATTCGTCACAGTCGGTGAGCTTGGACTGACACGTGAAGAACTAAAGTCCATAATTACGTTTTTATTTTTAAAACTTGATGGTATTAAGAACACTTGACCCAAGACCAACCCTCTTCACAAATCTTTAAGTGTACTATTGTTCTCATCTCTAGTCTCAGGGTGGTACAGCAGACTTCTGGGAACTGAAACTTTGTATCTATTGATCAGCAACCCTTCATTTCCCCTCTCCCAGCCTGACGCTTTCAGATTCCTGTGAAATGGAACCCCACGGAATTTGTCCTCTGTGACTGGTGTGATGCCCTCGGGGCTCGCCCGTGGTAGTGGCTGGCATATACGTACCATGGAATATCCCTCCCATTTCCTTAGTTTTTACCTAATGTCCTTTTTGTGCTCCAGCACCCCATCCAGGGCACTGTGCATTTAACTGTCCTGTCTCCTCAGGCTCCTGTTCGCTGTGACGGTTCAGACTCTTCAAAAATGCGTACAGAACAGAACTTCCTTTGAACAAAAATAGAACCCTACATGCATTCTATTTTGGAACCTTATATATTTTTTCACTTAACAATGTGTCCTGGGCGTCCTTCTGTGTTGCTAAATTCGCTCCCATTCTACAGCCTATTTCAGTGGATCATCTTACCTCCTTGGGAGTGCACCGCCTGATGTGCGATTATTTTTAGTTCAAGTTCTGTCCCATTACCCTTTGGGCACAAAATTAGAAAAAAACACAAAACCCGTGCATATACACGTGCTTGTGTGTATGTATACTCGTGCTTGCGTGTGTGTATACACATGCTTGTGTGTATATCCACGTGCTTACATGTGTATATATACTCGTGCTTGCGTGTGTGTATGCGTGTGCTTGCGTGTGCATGGACGCTCCCGGGAAGCAGACGTGAGAGAAGCAGAAGCAGGCCCTGGGGAGGAAGCTGGAGGCTGGGGGGCCGAGGGGGAGACTCCTTTTCACTGTGTATCCTGTACTCTTTGAATTTTAAATATTCGAATTTTTAAAATGAAGAAAAATGCTAGGAGCCCCTTCCTCCTCCTCACTTGCTTTTGGAGGAGGACACGTTCTCTGGGCTTCTCTGCCAGGCGGCGGCGCCCTCAGCATGCTCCCTGCCCAGGCGGCTGGGCCAGGAGCCCCGTGGGCTCAGGGGCAGCGCCGCTTCCACCACTGGGCCCGGTCGGGGGGGTGAGGGAGGGGCTGTGAGGAGGGGCTGTGGGGTGAGGTCACGGCCTGAGGCCCGAGCTGGGACAGGATGGACATCTGGAGAGCCAGGACCTGGCCCTGACCCCTCACCTCCCTGTAACTGGGGCAGCTCGCTCCATCCCTGTGAGGGGACAGGCTGGACATCCCTGGAGGCCCCTGTGGGGACTGATCTGTGGCTGGGGCGGTGGGGGGGGGGCGTCACTGGGGTTAGAGCCAGAAGCCCACCCCAGACCAGACAGGACAAGCGAGGAAGCCAGTGAGCACGGAGACAGGACACCGGGGTGGGGGCCAGAGGTTGAACCTCTGGCAGCCCAGATCACAGGGGTCAGGGCAGGGGCTGGGGGAGCCTCAGAAAGCTCTGAACATGAGGTGGGAGGACAGCAGCATTCGCAGGGTGCTGAGGGAGGCCTTCTTGGACCCACCCAGGCTAGGGAGCCGGGGGAGAGTCGTGCTGGAGGCCTGCCAGTCCCTGGGCTGGGCGGCAGCCAGCCAGCCGGGACAGCGGGGGCTGGGCAGGCAGCCTGTGACCCTGGGCTCCAGCTGTTGCGTCTGCTGCGACTTCACATTAGTTCTGCATTCCAGCGAGGCTGTGCTTGTAAATACACCTCAGCGACCAATGACCGGGTTCTGGGCCTCCCCAGCTTTGTCTAAGTCACATCCAGCGTCTGGAAAGGCCATTCCCGTGACACCTGCCCCCCCAGCCGGTGTTCTGGAAACATACCTTCAATCTTCGTCTTGAAGTGGGGGTACCTGTTGAGAACCTCCACCTGCTTCCTCCAGTCGAATTCGTTCTGCCAGTAGGAGAGGACTTTCTTCAGGTGGTTGGAGTTGAAACCGTAGTGGAAGCGGCTGTTCTCCAGGGGCGGGGTCAAGCGGGCCTTCCTGAGCCTTTGGTGTAAATCCTGGAGCGACACGCAGGACAGAGGGGTGGGTGGGGCAGAGCACGGGGAGCAAAGTGTGTCTCCAGAAGACAGAGCAAACCCCGAGGCCGCCAGACACGCCCTCCAGCAGAGGCGGAGCTGGAGAAGGCCACTGGTCTGCTGCCTGTCGCTCCGGGCCGTCAAGTTCATCCCAGAAGAACCTCTGTGATCTCCACCACAGAGGCTGCTCCCAAAGCATATGCTCTTTAGTCTGACTTCTGGTTTACTTCTCATGTTCCGGTTTCTAAATGTGTGAACAATACATACCTCTCATTTATCTACGCGTCTGTGTACGGGAGATGACACACCCTTATGAGAAGGGGCCACACTGCCAATATTTTAGGCTTTTTGAGTTGCGGCCACTGCACGCTGTCCCTGGGGTGTGGTCGCAGCCACGGACACACGGCACATGGACGATGGCCATGTCCCAGCGAACCTTTACTCGTGGACGCTGACGCTGAGTGTCATATGATTGTCACGTCATGAAACAGTCTTTTTATTTTTCCCAACCGTTTAAAGATACAAAAACTATGCTTAGCACGGGGACTGTATGAAAACAGGTGGCAGGATGGATTTGCCCCAGGATGTGTGGTTTGCCGACTCTGCTACACGGCATCGAATGATACATTGTAACTCAGTTAGGACACAAATCACAGACCACAGCACGAGTCCAAGGGGCGTCTGGCCGGCGGAGAGAGACCAGCCCTAGCTGGAGAAAGGTCAGGTCAACTCATGGCTCCTTGGAAGAGTGCCCCCCTGAGCATTTGAGTCACCCCCAAACATACTTTGGACATCAGGCTCTGAGTCTCAGAACCCACTAAAGGAGTGTCGTCAGGGCTCAGCTTGTGTTCTAAATAGCGAGGCCTTAGTAAGTCCCGCCCAGGGAGCCGCATCTGCTTTCTCTTGGGTGCAGCCCAGGCCTGCTTTTCAGAAGTCCCGTCTTTCCAGAACGCTCAGGACGTTTTTCTGGACACTTCTTACGGCATTTATCCTAGTTAACCTGTTACCGTTTCTCGGTGCAAGTTTCTTTTCTCAACTACTGAACTCTGAGCTACGTGAGGGAAGAAGCTCTGTCTTCCAAGCAGCCAGCATAGCGTCTGCACACAGCAGGCGTTCTGATACCCACGGGAGGAAAGCAAGAGTGGGTGGGGGCACCCCAGGCCCCACCCACCCTCCTGGCACTACTCAAGCCTGCTTCTCAGATCAGCCCGCCAGCCCGGTCACATCCTCCCTGTGCGCAGGAAGACACAGTCTTTGGAGCCTGACAGATCTGAAGCCACATCTGCCTTAAGATCTGTGTCACCTCGGATGAACTGCTTTAACTCTCCGAGCTTCAGTTTCTGCAACTGGGAGGTGAGAGCAATAGACCTGACCCTGGAGGGTTACTGCAGGGCCTGAACAGGACCACGGATGGCTGACACGCAGTAGGTGCTTAACCGAGGCCGGCCCTGCTGCAGGTTCTCTGTGCTTCAGCATTTCCTGTCGCCACAATCTGCGCGGATGTGCACCATGATCACTAAGATCGCCGCCGGGACCTGACGACAACCTGCTCACTTTCTCCTATATGCTCAGTCCCCGGGTTTCAGATGGGGGACAGAGGAGGCGAAACCGCTGCTTTCTGAGACCTTTGATGCACAAAACTGGGTCCAGCTGGCACCCCCTCTCCCACCTGGGCCCTCCCAAGGAGGGGCCGTTTCCCAGTTCCAACCCCTCCCCAGCCCCAGCCTAAGGCCTGCCCCCAACCTCAGGGTAGCCACGGAAGGGGGTCCCTGCCTCCCCGCTGCTCCACCCTGCCGGGAAAGAGGGGTCTTACATCGATCTCCTCCTCTGATGTTTCCACCTTGAAAGGGCGAATGCTCTCGTCCTCGGTGGGGGGCCTGGGCCCGGGCCCCCACCACCCGTCTTCAAATGGCAGCGTTTCCTCTTTGTCCCAGGAGACGAACCAGTAGACGACAAGGCCCAGCACGAAGCAGAGGAGAATCTCCAGCCACATGGCTCCTGCAGGGTGGGGACAAGTTCACCAGCCACAGCACCGCCCAGCCAGGCCCTGACCCTGGGGCCGGAGCTGCTGTACTCCTAACCTCTCCCACCCAACCCCTGATTTTTTGTACTTTTGGCCTAAAGAAAATGATACTAGTACGGTCTAGAAAAATGGGAAAAACAACAGAAAAAGAGACAAGAATCACACATAATCCCTCTGAGCTATGAAATTCATTCCTCACACTGAGAAAATGTGAACCCGAGTTGGCTCTTACCCAGCCAGCCCTTGGTGTGGGGGCTGCACTTCTGAGGTGCCTTTTCTCTGAGGGCCCTTTGGCTCCAGAAGCTTCTTTCCACCCTGTGACTCCCTCCCCCATGGGAGGGGCAGTGATTTCTCTGAGTGGCGGGCTCAGGGGAGGGAATGGGGCTGGGCCCAGCCCCTTGTGTCTCTGTCAGAGGGTCCTGTCTGCGGGATGTGTGTAAAGGGCAAGAGGGGGGAGTCCCGCAGTGCTGCAAGGTGAAGTTCAACTCAGGGGGTGGGAGGGAGAGTGTGAGGCAGCCCAAACATCTCAGCTGGTTTTTAACAGCTTTATTGGGATATAATTCAAATGACATGTAATCCACCCACTTAAAGTGTACAATCCAGTGCTTTTTAGTCTATTGACAGGTTTGTGCAAACATAAGCACAATTTTAGGATATTTTCATCACCACAAAGAGAAACCCTGTACCCTTTAGCTATCACCCCCTGAATGCCCCCCACCCGGACCCTAAGCAACCACTGATTTACTTTCTGTTTATAGATTTGCCTGTTACATTTCTTCTTCTTTTTAGAAAATCCTCAGCTGAGGGTATGTTTTTTATTGGTTTTAGAGAGAAAGGAAGGGAGAGAGCAAGGAAGAGAGAAACATCAATGTGAGAGAGAAACACTGATTGGTTGCCACCTGTACATACCCTGGGCAGGTATTGAATCCTCAACCCAAGTATGTGCCTTGACAGGGAATTGAACCCACGACCTCTTGGTATATGCGATGATGCTCCAACCAACCAAGTCACCCAGCCAGGCTACATTTCGTATGAGTGTTTTTAATCCCATCCGTCTGACTCCCACGTCTTTTTTCTCAGAAGGGGAGAAAGAAGAGCTTAGTCCCTGCCCACTGGTACCAGGAAGACAGGGCCATGGTTGCTGTCTCCTGGCTCCTCTCCCACAGTCCCAGGGAAGTAACCCACTGAAGGTTCAAGTTCAGGAAAATGTGCATGAACGTGGACACGGTCCCCATGCCAGAGCCAGTGGAGGTGCTGCCGGACAATCGGAGGACAAAGCACCCTGTCTCAGACAAGGCCTCAGCACAGCCGCCCCCAGCTCCAGCGGACTGTCCTGGAAGCCTGAGGAGGGGAGGACCTCGCGATAAAACCCAGCCTAGCGTGCCCTCAGTTCCCCCCAGGACCTGGTGGGGGCTTGCCGAGGCCCTGAAGTTTGCTCCTGCTGGGAGCTGCCCCTCTAAACTGAGCACTGGCCACTGGAGGCTGTTCCTTGAAACACCCATCTACAGTGGCAGAGAAACAGAAAACCACTGGGGCTGGCTGCCTCCCCCTGCCTGCACCAGAGTGGAAATCTAACGCCCTTTTTCTGCCCGTGGCCCTGCTGACCTCCCAGACCCCCACACTCGGTCCCTGCAGCCACTTCTGATTCCTTTCCCACACCCCCCATCACCAAGTCCGGATGCCACTCAGATCCAGCCCCCTCCGTGCACAGTGCCCTCCTCTGAACCAAAGCCCTTGTCACCCACACTTAGATGACTGTGACAGCTTCCCAGCCTCATCTCTCCAGCCACTGGTGTACTTCTTAGACTCCAGGGCGTCATTCCCGTTAGAAACCACACTCAGTGCATCATCCACCATTAAGCCCCATCTCCCCCTTTGGGTTACTACTTGGCTTGTGGTGTGCTTCAGAGCCACGGGTCTCAGGTTACAAAGCAGGCTTTACTACAGTGTGCTAACGTGGCACCGAGTAACAGCTCTTTCTTTAACAGAGTGTTACATCCACGCGAAGGAAGTAAGGTGTTCCACGTTAGCCCACTGTGACAGGCATCGACTGTTGGCCAGTGGGGTTTCCAGGGGTGTCATGAACCACGGTCCATGCAAAGCCACCCAGGAGGGAACTAAATTTCATCAGAATTGACTTTTCCTTTTCATGTGTTGAGGGCAAGAATCAGGGCAGGCAAGAGTTTTGCCCCAAATCACACCGCGATTGCGAAGATTAGAATTTGTAGCGAAAGCATTCATTCCCTGTCACCAAGCAGGTCGCACGCCCCCTCCCCCCTCCTGTGTCACCTCCGCCACGTTTTTAGCCACGACTGCACGGTACCCGCGGCCTTCTGCCCCAGCGTTCCTTCCAGGATCGCACACCTTTTTCCAAAAAAAAAAAAAAAAAAAAAAATGAAATGGTAATAAACAAGAACCTCCCCTTCCTGGCCCGTTGGAGCAGAGGTTCGTCCAATGAGTAAGGAGGTGGCGGGTAGGCGAGCCCCGAGAAGAGGAGGGGCCTTGGAGTCCGACCAATCAGAGCTTGGCCGCTCGGTTAACTCCGCCCTCGCACTCCCCACGCTGGGAATGAGAACTGAGCCGCACAGCGTCCGGAGTCTGCGGGGTCTGGGGTGCTGCGGCTGCCCTCAGGGCCCCGGAACCCCCAGCCAGAGCTGCTGCTTTACTTAGAGTATCACAAGCGAAGCTTTGAGGCTCAGGAGAGGGCGCCGCTCCGCCGGCCCACTCCCTGCACATAGCAGGTGAGTGTGCGGGGCCAGCTCGGGGCTCTCTCCTCCCCAGCGTGGGCTCCCTGGGGTTGGGCCGGTGGAAGCAACACCGCCCACAATGGGGAGAAGGGACTGTTCATTAGGAAACTCAAGGCCATCTGGACTCTGGTAGCAGCAATCTGGTTTGGGGATGGGGTGGTACTAGGCAGGTGACATAGCCCTCCCCTCCCCAAGGCCCCTCTCAGCTTCCAGGGGGCAGCCCAGCCGCTTGGTTGGAGCCAATGAACACTCAAGCTGAAAAGGAACTCAGCAGCTTTGAGTCCAGCCCCTTCACTTCACAGCTGAGGCTGGGGTGGGAGGAAGCATCCGCCCCCAGTTGTGACAAATCTGGAATAAAGGGAGAAAAGAGTCACCGCCCTCCCTGCCTTCTGTCACCTCTAGGGCACGGTTTCTCAACTTCAGCACAACTGGTATAACCAGATAATTCTTTACTCCGAGGGCTGTCCTGTGTATTGCAGGGTGTTTAACAGCATTCCCGGCCTCTGCCCACTAGAAGCCAACAGTATCCCTCTTCCCCCAGTTGTGAAACCAAAAAAGCAGGAAAACGTCTGGGGGGCAGAGGGGCGGTGGCAGCCCTCAGGTGAGGGCGCATGCTGTATATCAGTGGTTCAACTTCAGAATGTGTTAGAATCACCTGGGGAGCTCGCTAAGTCAAGTTTCTGATTCAAGGGGTCTGGGGGTGGGGACGGGGAATTTGCATTTCTAACAGTGCCCAGGTGCTGCTGCTGCTCGGCTGGGGGCCATACTCGGAGAACTGCCCTGTAAACCCTAAGAAGGCCTGTCAGTCTGTCTTGCTCTCCAAGGCATCCCAGCGAGCACCGAGCCTGGTTCTGGCAGATGCAAGGAGTCCACCGAGAGTTGTTGAATGAACACTTGGGCCTGAGGAAGTGGGAGGAGTCCTGGCTCTTCAGCAGCATCAAGAAAGGCAAAGAGAACACTCCATCTCCAAGGTAACAGGTGAGCAGAGGACCCCAGAGTCTCTCTCTGCCTGCAGATTTCCGAGTTGGTTCCGCGTGGGAGGCTGGATACCCCAAGCTGCCCTTCTGGTTACGGTCCTCTGGGGAAGGTGAACTTATGGACTCTGCATCCGTGGTGTCTTTGAATATATACCCAGAAGTGGAATCACTGGGTTGTAAGGCAGTTCCACTTTTTATTTTTGGAGAAATGTTCATACTGTTTTCCATTGTGGCTGCACCAGTCTGCATTCCCACCAACAGTGGGATATATATATGGAGGAGATAAATCAGAAAAAATATTGCTGAGAGAAATGTCCAAGATCTTACTGCCTGTTTCCTTATGGTTTTAAAGGTTTAATGGTTTCAAGTAGTTTAATGGTTTCAAGTCATATGTTTAAGTCTTTAATTCATTTTGAGTTTATTCTTTCACGTGGTGTAAGGAGATCATTTCATTTTTTACAAGTATCTGTCCAATATTCCAAACACTACTTATTGAATACTGTCTTTATTCCATTATATGTTCTGTCCCCTTTGCCATAGTTTAATTGACCACATAGGTGTGGGTTTATTTCTGGGCTCTCTACTCTGTTCCATTGATCTGTGTGTCTGTTTTTTAATAGTTTATTTCTATTGTATTTTCCAATGACCATTTACCCCCCTTATACCCTCTTCTACCCCCCTTCCCCTGTACTCCCTGCAATCACCACATTGTTGTCTGTGTGTGCCTGTTTTTATGCCAGTACCATGCTGTTTTGATTACTATGGCCTTGTAGTAGTTTCATATCAGGTAGTGTTGTACCTTCAACTTTGTTCTTCTTTCTCAAGATTGCTGTGGCTATTCAAGATCTTTTGTGGTTCCATATAAGTTTTTGGATTATTTGTTCTAGTCCCATGAAAAATGCCATAGGTATTTTGATAGGAATTGCATTGAATCTATAACTTGCTTTGGGTGATATTGTAATTTTAATGTTAATTCTTCCTACCCATGAACATGGTATATACTTCCATTTATTTGTATCATCTTCAATTTTTTTCTTCAGAGTGTTATAATTTTCCAAGTACAGTTCTTTCACCTCCTTGGCTAAATTTATTCCTGGGTATTTTATCTTTTTTTTTTTTTTGGTGCAATCGTAAATGGAATGTTTTCTCAGTTTCCCTTTCTCATAGTCCATTATTGGTGTATAAAAATGCAACCAGTTTCTGAATATATATTTTGTATCTTGCTACTCTGATTTCATTGATCAGTTCTTGCAGTTTCTTGGTGGAATCCTTGGGGTTCTCTACATACAGTATCACGTCATCTACAAATGATGGCAGTTTTACTTCTTCCTTTCCAATTTCTTTTTCTTCTTCTTGTCTCATTGCTATGGCTAGGACTTCCACTACTATGTTGAATACGAGTGGTGAAAGTGGACAATGCTGTCTTGTTCCCGACCCCTCCCACGCACACCCAGGCCCAGCAGAGACAGCCACAAACTGGATTGCTTTGCAGTTCCTAACAAGTAGCTCAGGGCTGGTCACAGTGAGTGTCTGACATTGACCTGCACTGGAGCCCCTCCCAAAAAGCCCCAGAATCAACACACCTGGTGGTGGGCACCAGACTGCTGGGGACAATTCTGCTTTGTATGGTCAGCTTCCGCAGAGCAGCTTGAACACTGTGGTCAGGGTCAATCATAATTAGCCAGCCTGGGGGTCAACCCTCCCACCCACAGATGGGCCAGCAGCAATCAAGACTCAACTACAACCGAACTCAGTGAAACACTTCAACAAAGAGGTAGTAAGCATAAAAGGGACATAGAAACTATAAGAAAGAACCAGTCAGAAGTAAAGAATACAATATCTGAAATGAAGAATACACTAGAAGAAATCAACAGCAGATCAGATGAAGCAGAGGCTCAAACCAGCGATTTGGGAGACAAAGTAGAAAAAAAATTACCCAATCAAAACATCAAAAAAGAAAAAATAATTTTTACAATGAGAATGGTTTAAGGGACCTCTAAAACACCATAAAGCATAACAACATCTGCATCATAGGGATACTAGAAGACAGAGAGAGAGAGAGCAAGGGATTGAGAACCTATTTGAAGAAATAATGACTGAAAGTTCCCCAGTAATTACAATATACAGAAAGGGGACAGACAGGTCTGTGTGCAGCCTAGAAAAGAGAGACCTGACGGGTGAGACTTGGGCAGGTGCACTGACACAGCTCGGAGGTGCCCTGAGCCGTCTCCGCAGGGATGCTCTGTTGTGAGCCCGGGGGGCCTGGTTGACAGGCCTCCCTACCGCCTCAGCTGCTATTCAACTGTGACAACCCACCTGGGCTCTGATCAGTGAGACATACTGATTCAGAAGTCAGCCACAAACAGATGTAACCGTTGGGTCACTTGGGAACATGTTATTTATCTCCCGGTCCACCATATGTCAAGTATTATGCAAATACCTTGTGAGCCTGGGGAAGCAGGGTGGCCCACCTGGGTGTTATCTTCTGAGGAGCCAGCCCGTCTCACATATACAATCCCCATTCCAAGGGATACCCCCTCCCCAAACAGCAAGTCTGACTACCTTTGACTTTAAAACTGGACCACCTTGGAGTTTACACTGAAGGAACATCCGGCTTGCTGCCTTGTTCAAGTAGTTCGAATCCCAGCTCTACCATTCACTAGTCGGGGGTCTTTGGGCAAGTCACCAAGTCACTGAGCCTCTATGACCTTGCCTGTGAAATGGGGATAATAATGCCAACTTCACAGGCTGTTTATGAAGATTGCCTGGTTCAAAGCGGGTGCTCCGGCCCAATCCCTTACTGCTGTGCGGATGTCTCTGTGCCGGAAGAGACCCCAGAGAGACTCGGTCCCTGTGAGCTTACGTAGCCCACGCCCCACAGCCCCATCGCAGTTTTTGTACGTGGGTGAGCTGGAGGTAAGAAAGTGCACGGCGCAGACACCTGTGGTCCGGGGCACCTGTGTCCTTTAGGGGTGTCCTCACCAAGGACTGACAGGAGGATGAAGGGCAGCATAGGCCATGCACGTCTTTGGCCACCAGCCCTTTCCCAGACGTGTCCCTGGGAGCAGGCTCAGCTCTTCTTTCCTGTCTGCCCATAGGAATTACATTCTCAGCACGAGGGGCACAATTTTGTTTGCTAGGCCTCCACCTTTCCAGGGAGAGCTATATTTATCTCTTCCACGTGGTCCACCCCTGCTGGGGTAACAAACAATTCCAGTCACTTCAGTGTATCACCACTTAGGAGACACTATGAGACACCCACAAGTATTGGTAATACAGTTCAAACTGCAAGTGCCTGCTTTGTTACAGTAGCACCCAAAATTACAGCCTAGTTGATCCACCCCAAAAGTTCCAGAAACACAGTTTATCCAGTTAGATTGTTGTTTTGTTTTTTAGTGTACTTTTCCAGAACAGTGACAAAAATAGTTTGCTGAGGGGAGTGGGTGCTGGGGGAGGGAAGCCTTTCTGAATGAAAGTATTTTTTTCCCTCTTGGAACCACAACACCCTTCCTAAAAGAAAAAATAATTAGCTTGCCTAGTAAGGAAAGTGTGGTTTTTGTTGTAAAACAGCCTATTTTTTTAAAACACACTAACCAGAGGACGGTGGTCATGGAGTTATGGAGGCTAAGCTTGCAGGGAAACATGATGAGCAAGGATGACCACTCAGATAAGAAATGAGAGGATGTACAGTTTAATCCCCCCAGTTCTACAGTGAGGTCAAGTTCTGGGCATGCGATTGTAAAACATGGGAAAAAAGTCAGGAATGAGTTCAAGTTGAAAAGCTAGTTAAGCAACTGGGATAGCCATTACCCTTAAAAGGCTGACTAAATGTAAACTATTTGAAAGTGACAAATGATGCAAATAAAGCAATTTATTAGTTTACTTTAGTCTCTCCGGCTCTGACAAAGGACGGTTTTAAATACAGGCATTCAAATGAAGTAGGTGTTTTGTTCTCTGGCACTGTTAAAAGGCACATCAGTTTCACAATCGAACATGGTAACTTGTTATGCTTCGGGCAAAACTACAAGTTTTAACACATAGGATTCATTTAAGCTCAAGTGAACTCTTTTCCTGTCAACTGAATGTGCTCTTTAGAGTATCAAGGAGTCATTTGTTTTCCAAAGTAAATAAGAGGTTTGGATCTGTGCCTTGGAAAAGCAAGTATGAATCTGGCTTCGGACCAGAGGGAGGTTCGGCACGCACTGTGCGTGACTGTGGCCGGGGGTCCCTGCAGACACAGGAAGGAGGGTACGGCCTCGTACCTGCAGGAGTTCCTGCCCTGGCAGGACAAACAGAGGGGCAAATACTACCCTTCTAGTGATCGATACAACACATGCACAGTCGTGTGCCGCAGAATGACGTTTCGGTCGAGGACCACATAAACAACAGTGATCCCACACTGTTATCATGTAGCTGAAAAGTTTCTGTCACCTAGGGTCTTCATAGTGCAATGCGTGGCTGAGGTGTTAGCAGTGATGCCAGTGTAAACAGCTCTACTGCTCCGCCTGTAGTATAACAATATGGCATGTGCAATTATGTATGGTACATAATACTTGATTATAAAGGACCACGTTACTAGTTTATGTGTTCCCTATACTGTACTTTTTATTGTTATTTTAGAGTGTACTCTTTTTTTTTTAAAAGATTTTATTTATTTATTTTTAGAGAGGGAAGGGAGGGAGAAAGAGAGAGAGAAACATCAATGTGCGGTTGCTGGGGGCCGTGGCCTGCAACCCAGGCATGTGCCCTGACTGGGAATCGAACCTGTGATGCTTTGGTTTGCAGCCCGTGCTCAATCCACTGAGCTATGCCAGCCAGGGCTAGAGTGTACGCTTTATAAAAAGAAGTTTGCTGTAACACAGTGTGCCGTGGGCACCAGCAGCAGCCTTGTACGTCTCATCACCTTACCTAATGTTTGCTGCACTTCCTGATTGCATACTTTTCTGTGCTTGATTTAATGTCTTGTTGTTTTGTACAGTCACATGCCTGTCGCCTTGGAGCAGTAGGCTATCCCATCTAGGTTTGTGTAAGTACACTCTGCGATGCTTGTGCAATGATGAAATTGCCTAGCAACTCATTTCTCTGAATGCAGCTCCATTGTTAAGGGGCACATGGCATGTGCAAAGGCAGGAGAAGTTACACCACAAAGCTTTCCCAGAGGAGAGGGTCACTGAGTGGGGTTTTTAAGCATGAATAGGAGTTTACCAGGCAGAATTTAATGGTGGGCAAATCCAGAGAGCGAAGAGAGCATGTGCAAAGGTGTGGAAGAAAGAGAGTGAGTGCGTGCGTGGTGTAGGTGAAGCCGTATCTGTGTCCGGTGTCAGAGGTGACAGCTGGGAACTTGGAGGAGGGCAGCCGTTTCCGATTTATTTCTGAATTAGTTGAAAGGAGTCCCCTCACCTTATGTTTTTTATAAATTATCACTCCATCGTGGTGGAGCTGAACCAGGAGTTTTAACTAAGAAATTGTGTTTGCAATTCAGGTCATCTGTGCGCGCCAAGGGGAGTGAGTAAACCAAGGAAATGGACTTGGCGATGTGAGGATTTCGTGGCTGCGTGAGGAAAAGAAGAACCGGACTGCGGATTGCGCAAGTCCACACTCGACCCCGGCTGCCCTTGCAAAGCTGACCACTCCAGCACGCATTCCAACGGGCTGAGGTCGCACGGCAGTCGGTCGGCTGTGTTTTCCTCTTTGCTCTTAGTAATGGAATTTTTTTGGTTAGAGAAGCAAGCTAAACACTACGTTTCTTTGCCTTCCTTGCAGCTCAGTACGACAAAGTGATTAAGTGATGACAAAGAGCTGTACGTGTTCTTGAGGCAGAGCCCAGGCGTTATCTTTGTGTGACTTAGGAAAAACAGCCATTTCTCAACAGACTATCCAAAAATTCGCCTAATATGCTGCCTTTGTTACAAGACACCTCCTTGCCAGCTGCTGGAAAGTAGCTGTAAGTAAAAATACAATGATGTTGACGACGTGAATGGTGATGATGGAGAAAGTAAAGTGGAGTAAGCATGGCTAAGGGAGTCGCTAAAGTGGAGTCAGGAGGTCACTGAGGAAACGGAGCCTCTAGACGTCCAGTTCCTGGAACTATTGTTGAGTTCTGACCTTACTGTAAACTCAACCCTGACCTATTGCCAAACTCAGCTCAAGGCTGGACAGCATACATCTTGGATCCACGACTGCTCCACGGACATGTATGGACTTGACTTCCTCCTCATCACGGTCTCCAGACTGTCTGCACTCTTCACCTCGAAAGGAATCCATTTCCACAACCAGCACCCTCCTCCGTTTACATAATGGGCCTAACCAATCCCAGCTGGCCTAGCCAACGTCCCTCAGTTTCGTGGAGGACCAAAATGAGAACGGCTCTTAGGACTTCGCCCTTTATAAACCCTTTCTTTTTTCCCTTTGGAACCCAATTTAGGCTGTTACATAAATCTGTGCCCTGGATTGCCGTTCCTCCTTTGCTCAGATAAACACCTTTTATCCTTTATCACAGCCTGTGCTTTTATTTGTTAAGTTGGCGGTGGCAACCTCTGCCGTCATCCAGTGTGCATCCTGCACAGCAGCATGTGGGCCCTGCATGTGTGTGGAAGACTATGAAAGAACGCTGACTCAGCTGGGGAGCAGGCACCTTCTGCCCTTCCCCTTCCTGCTTTCTGGGATGCAGACATGATGGCTGGACTCCGGTAGCCACTTTGGACCATGAAGTGATCTGGAGGATAGAAGTCCTTGCTAGAATGATGATGGAGAAAGACAGAAGGAGCTTGGGTTCACTGTGGAGCCACCAGCCCAGGCCTGGACTATTCAAACTCCCTTTGCATGATAGCAAAATAACCTTCTATATTGTTTAAGCCACTATCATTTTGAGTTTTCTATTCTAGAAAGCTTAACATAACCCTAGCTAATTGAGAAAGTCTGGGGGAAAAGAAAATATAGCAAATCCCTCAGTGGACCAGCTCTCAAGGATAAATGCTTGGTCTTGAACATTTTCAACGTCATAATAATGTTCCATCTCTGAGACACTTTATGATAAATGAACACTTTCTTACTGAGGACAGAAAAGAGGGTGGTCCCACTTGGCCGCAAGTACTCAGACTTGGATGAAAAGCAATTCTGTAATACCCATAAATGGAAAATACAGATGGCCTTCGACGCAATTCTAGTTCTGGGAATTTCTCTCCTTAAAATCCTGAATTTACATTTACATAAAATATTATGGGGATAAGAATATTCCCTGCTTTTGTTTTTCTTTTGTAAAAGCCGAAGATTCGGAACAACCCGCACGCCCACCACCTGGGGACTGCAGAAATAAGCGGTGCCCTAGTGCTCCAGGGAATGCTGCACCGGTGAAAACGGGGGCCGATCTATATGCCGACGTGCACACGTCTCTGGGACGCATGGTAAAGCGACAACAGCGGCGTGCAGAGAAGTGTGTGGGATTAGTGGCCGCCAGAGGCCCCACGTCCCTAGGACAGGATTTCCCTGCCGTTCACCCAGACGCTCACAACAGTGGCCGCCTGCAAGGAGGGAATAGACTTTCACAGAATAAGCTAAAAAAAAAAATCACTTTTACCAAATGCATGCACCATCAGCTCAAAAACAGAATTACGCATGTTTAAAAAATGGGCGAAACCACAATGGTGACAGACCCTGTGATTCCACTTCAGCGGTGGCTCAGCCGCCCTCACAGTCCCCAAGCTGCACAGAACACGCCTGAGCGGCTGCGGCCGGGACGCCTTCTGTGTGATTTTCTAGTGGCCAAGAAACGCTTGGGACAAAGGTTAATGGAGGAACATGTGGGCATCTGGGGGCCAGAGGCCTGGTGGCACTGTGACAATGGGTAAACAAAGCTGGTGAGGCTGCCAGAGCAATAGGAGCTGCCAGAGGACCTGTGACCAAGTGGGGCCCCCCTTTCTGTGAAAGTGGCTCCTCCCACTGCTAGCTGTGTGCAGGCAGCAGCCGTGTGTGTCTCTAGCCCAGACCTCCTCCAAGCTGCAGGCCCGTATGTCCATCTGCCAACTCCACTCTTCCTCGTGTCTCCAAATGAGGAGACACGAGCGTGACAGCCCTGTCACGCTCGGGACAGTGTGGAGGATCCCGCCCCCTGCCCTGCCGGCTGCCACAGTCCTGACTGTGACTCAGACTCACATGAGTGTGAGAACCTCAAGCTCCTTCTGGGGAGAGCCTGCTTGGGGGCAGAGGGAGGGAGGGAAGCCGTGGCACTGCTGGGTTGGTCGGAGAGAAAGGTGGGCGCAGGGGGTCTGTGTGCTTCCTCCGGCTCGGACCCCTCCTCGCCCTTGCTGGGGAAGGTAAAATGAACATCCAGCAAAGGGACAAACAGATGGCTCCCATCCATCCCGGGGCCAGCCTGCCAGGGCAACGCAGAAAGGGACGTTTCTGCCACCAGTGCTTTGGCACTGTTGACAGCCACTGAGGCCCTGGGGCTCCCGGGGCTTCCCAGAAGTGAGTCCTCAAAGTCTCAGGCCCACGCACTGGAGCAGAGCCCACTCTGGGTGGCAGGCTGGCCCACCACGGATGGGGGGCGGGGAACTCTGGGTGGGGGCACTCCCTGACCTGCGCAGCTCAGCCCTCTGCCAGCCTCTGCACGCACAGCCACTTCCCCCGCACCCCAGTGGCCCATCCGGGATGCGCCGTGGGGCGAGGCTGCATGCAGGGGAGCTGGGCTGAGCAGAAGGCTCTGCACCAACGGGGGCCTTGTTTATCGCCCTGCGGGACCTGGAGCCCAGCCCTGGGAGCCCTGGCTGGCACCAGCACCAGGGCAAAGGGAAAATGTGGTTTAAAGGCAAAGAGGCAGGGGAGTAAAAGAAGTAAAAGCAGTGTGAGGGGGCAGCCTTCTTGGGGGAGCCCTGTTCTGGGGCCTGCGTGAAGGGACATCACCACCTGCCTCGGAGGGACTCCGCCCTGTCCCCCCGACCCTCCATATGCTGTATTGACAGAAAGGATGGAATCTGGGCCTGCTGGCCTGATGAGACCATTCAGGGAGTCAGGAGCCAGGCTGCTGGGTGGTCAGGCACTAACCGGCTACTTTGAACCGTGGCGCTGCCCCTTGCTGGCCACGTAACCTCAGGGCAGCGACTCACTGCCCTCCCCTAGGCATCAGTCTCCCCATCTGTAAGATGGGAGAATGAAGGACCTCCCTTAGAGAGCTGGGAGGATTTGACGAGTTAACTCAGGTACAGTGGCCAGCACATGGCACACTAAAGGGGGCAGGGGACCTAGTCTGAAGCTGATGGGACCTTCCCTGAGGAAGTGCCATCTGCCCCAAGATGGGAAGATACATGGTGATCCTCGTGAGAGCGCAGGGCAGAGGGTCCCAGTGTGGCTGGTAGGAGAAGTGTGAGGAAGGGAGCATGGCCTGGGATAAAGAGAGACACCCCTGAGCTGGGGCCCCCTCCACGCCCATTTGCACGACCTGCCAGCCTTGCGTTATGTATCACAAGGAGGGACCAGGCTCTCCCCACGCAGAAGCGGCCGTGTGCCCCTGGTCGGGGAGTTCCATGGGAAGTCCTATTCCAGCGCACCTTCAGCCAATTAAAATAAGAGCTGGCAAGTTTTCCACTGGTTCTAAGTTACCGGAGGAAAAAAACCCAAGTGGAACACAGTTCACTACCTATGAGAAAAACGCATGACCTTCTGCAGAATTTCAGCGCTTGCCAACTCTCTATTTGAGTAGAGAGAGACTCCGGTTTCAGGGGAGAATAGGAGCGGGCCATGTAATACGCCTACTTGATTCCTTTCACACCATTAACCACACTGCCCCGCCCCCCTCCGCCCAGGTGGGCTAGTCCTCAGCAGCGAGCTCCCCATCTGGAAGCTTCCTCAATAGTGTGTAACAGGATCACTGTTTGGCGGGCCCTGGCTGAGTAACCTGAGCCGCTTTCTTGTCTAGGACACTGTGGAAGGGCCGGTGCTTCACGGGAACGACCCTGAAGACAAGGGCCGGCATTTTGAGGAATGTTCTGGGTGGCTGGTAACCTGGCGAGGCTGACCGGCTTGCAGCAAGGTCTATGCTGCGAAAAGGAGGAAGTCACGAAAGGCTGAGGTGCTTGTGGAGTTCAACCAAAGGTCCTGGAGCGGCTCTGAAATGAAGATGCGCCCTCTTGACAGAGTATGACCGTGACCTTGGGAGGAGCCCCGCCCAAGGGCAGGAGGCACAGACCACGCAACGGGCTGGGGGTGGGGCTTCCCCCACCTGGTGTGTGGGCCTGCCTCTCTGGCTGCCTCCCAGGACCACGGTGTCCACAGGCAGAAAAACCAGAAAGCAGGAAAGGATCTATCCATCTCGGCTAGAGACTTCACGGGGTTAAGCACGCACCAAACTGTTTCTCTTACTTTCCAAAAGGCCCACGAGTTTCCAGTTGTAACAGAAGAGGAATGCACCAAAAAGTCATCACTTTGTGTAATGAAGGTCACTCATTCCACAGGGAAAGGCAAGTCCCAGGCTGAGATGCCGGGGGCACCCTGAGGTGCTGGCCCTTGGGGCAGGGTGGAGAGCCCTCTGCCTGGCTCTCTGATGCCCCAGAGGCACTTCGGCCTCCTGCCCAGGTCATCAGCTCCCTGCCACCCTCACAGGCTCACAGTGGGCCGGAGCCGGGCTCAGGCCAGCCAGGCGGGCCCATGGCGGGGACACTCAACACCTTCCAGGGCGTCACATGTGTCTGGCACCACAGCCTCCCCTGAGGGGAACCAGAGGAATCCTTGGACTGTGACACGAGGCTGATGACACTGAACACATCTTCTCGTGTGTGCGCCACCATAACCCCGAGGAGGAGGGAGTGTTTTTCCCATCTGGAGAGATTTAAAAACGAAGTTCCGAGAGGCTAAGGAGTTTGCTCGAGTTCACCCGCCTCGTAAAAGCCAAGAAAACTTCGGAAAAACTTCTGTGTTCCTGTCTGGGGGTGAGGCCTGTGGCCCTCCTCTTTGGGTTGGCTAGAGAATCTTCTGGGAAGTCTCTGAGCTCCTCAGAGATAATGCTTTTCCCCCCATGCAAGCACTTGCCCTTGGGCCTCGGAGAGCCCAGCAGGCGAGGCTTTGCGGCGCCCGGACCGTGCACGAAGTGGGCTCCTCGTGAGAACTGTGCCTGCCCGCCGGGCAACAAAGGTCGAAGGCAGACAGGGGACCGATGGGCATGAAGACTGCACGCCGGGCCGTCTGGGGGACGGCTGTAGGGGGGACTCCAGAGAGTGAAAGTGGCGCGGTGGGGCGAGAAAGGATGAACTATGACCCGCCCCCCAGAAAGACAAACAGACCTCCACGGTCGTGGAGGCCGCTTCCCTTTGAACTGGGTTTGCACAACCGTGTGTTTAGGTATGCCGCCGACCCTTGGACCAGGTGGGACGGGGGCAGCGACACCTCGCGCAGCTGAAAATCCACACACAACTCTGACTCCTCCTAGCCTCTCACGCCTACGGCTGACCGGAAGCCTTGTGGAAACAAACGGTTGAAGAACGCATATTTTGTTTTTTATGTGTTATCTACTGCATTCTTACACTAAAGTAAGCCAGAGAAAAGAAAATGTTATTCAGAAAATCTAAAAGTTCGTCTGCGAGTCTTCTCAAATTGTCACAGGTCTCCCCCAATTTTTCCAGTATATTTATGGAAACAGACTCATGGATAAGTGGACCTGCCCAGTTCAACCCCGTGTTGTTCAAGGGTCAACTGTGTAACCGGGGCTAGGACCGCGCCATTCTACCCTTGTGACCAGGAGCTCCTCCTGGCACCCACCACTCCCCCCTTCTCAGGGAAAGGGGTGGCTGGATACTTGGCAAAGCCTGGGTTCCCTCTTGGGGTAACTACTGGGGTGCCTGCTCCACCTCAGCCTAAAGCGTGGGGCCTAGGCCCAGAACACCCACAGGCAGCCCACCCACCAGTGACCCCAGGAGGCCAGCTGGGCCCGGGCTCTCTGTCTGAGGTTTGCCCCCTGCACCCTGGGGCCAGGGCCTGGGCTCTATTTCAGCTGCCTGCGGTGGACCTGGACACGCTGCAGGCCCACCCGGGCCCCATCGACGGACCGCTCCCCGCCTACAAAATGCCCTCCCCGAAGACCCCGTTGGGCTTCTCAAGCACAGAACCATCACACATCAGAGCTGCAGAGAGTCCCGCAGATCGGAGAGCCCGAGCTCGTCCTTGTGTGGGTGGGTGAGAGCCCGGGAGGGTGACGTGAAGGGCAGAGCTGGGACGTGAGCCGCGTCCGCCTTCTCTGCCAGTTCTCCTTCCGCACCATTGTATCACCTCTCCAAGGGAGGAGTCCCTAACGATGGGGTCTGGGCCCTGTCAGAGGTGGGTGTGAGCACGAGGTCCCACGAGCCCCGCGGTCACCACGCGCCTGCTCTGTGCCCGCTCCTGCCGCCGTGGGTGCGCTCTGGGCTATTCAGCGGTGGCCACCAGCTCACGTTTAGCTCCTCCATATTTTGTTAACTGGGCCATGGTCCATGTCTGTGCGTTTTGAAGAAATGGATTCTGGGTAGCTCCTGCCTGCCCACCTCGGGCTGGCCAGGGTGCTGGGAGGGGAGAGTCTCTAAGTGCAGGCGTGTGGGTGGGAGGGGGCCCTGGTCACGTGGGGGCTCCCTGTGCGCTCCGATTGGTGCTGGGTTTAGACGTCAGACACGCACCAGGACGCCGCAGGAGGAGGTGGGGAGCGGCGCTCCGCCTCCTCCAGTGGCCAGGTGCCCTTTCTCTAAAGGTCCTTCTACCCGAGGACAGTCACGTCCCATAAACGACATCCACTCCCGTAAGTCTGTCCAACCAGGGTGCTCGAGGTACAGCGAGCGCCAGGTGGGATCACACCGACGGGCGGGACTGGAGCAGATGGCTTCGAGGTTCCCCTGGCTACGCCGTGGCCCTCCCAGGTGTGGACATTTGGGGAAGAAACACCGTATGCTGATTGTCCCGGAGCCCTTTGCTGAATCAGGCCCCGTGGGGCCAGGGAAAGCTCCCCACAAGTTCCCCCAAGCCCAGAGTCCCTAAAGGAAGTGACCAGGGCACCGAAGAGGATGGTACTTTCTGGGGCAGCGTCAGGGGGGTTTCTCGAAAAAATGTTTGTTTTAAACCACACTGAGTTCAGAGGAGGCTGCAGTGGCCCAGAATCAGGCATAAATCCCAGTGTCCTCAACCGCTCCCCATAACAGCTCATAAATCTGGGCAAAGGCGCCTCCCTGGGAGCTGAGATGCCAAGGACCTAGGCTTCCTTGCCTCCTGCCCTCCCCCAGAGCTGCCAGGGCGGAGCCGGAGGGTCAGGGATGGGAGAGGGTGTCTGTCCATCCTGGCGCCAGGGGTAGGTAGAGGTTTGGGGGAGTCTGAAGTTTATGCACTGGAGGGGAGGGGAGGGCGGTGGAAGAGGGGACGCAGCTTGAAGCAAAAAGTCGTCACGATTAGGGTTTCAGCATTGCTAGAGCCCCCACCGTCCAACTCCCCGAGGCGGCTTCAGAAGGGGCGGGGCACACGAGGGGCCGGAGCCAAGTTCCACAGCTTCGGGGTCAGTGCCCCCCTGCCAGGGCGGGGGGCTGGGCTGGCAGGGCCGAGTGGGCTGGCGGGTCCTCCCGAGAGGAGAGCAAGAGGCAGGAGAGGGAAAAACCCGGCAGCGGGCAGAGATGGCAAGAGAGCTCATCGCAACTAGAAGACGCGAGATAGGCGGTAGGATTTGGGGGCAAGCACGTGCGTGGCACTGCGGAGTTCAGACGCAACCCTGGAATCGCTACTCCCCGGGACAGCCCGACGAGGGACCGTGTCCAGCGGGTCAGGGCCACGGAAGTCGCTGCCTGGCCTTGGAGCCGAAAGGGGGGCTGGGTGCCAGGCGCGGGCACGCGAGGGCCCAGCATCTAGGACGCAGCTGAGGGTGGGGAGCGCAGGCGGCGCCCGACACCAGTGGGTGCGGAGGCGGGTCCGCAAGTCTTACTGGAGCCCCAGCCCGCGGGGCGGCGCGGCCCCACAGAGCCCCCCGCCCGCGGCCACCAGGCTCGGTCACCCTCTGGCACCGCCCGATCCCGCCCTGCTGAGCCCCCCTGGCGAGGGCTCCCTGGCCGCAGGGCCCCCCCCCCCCGCCTCCGCCCCCGAAGCTGCGCGTCCCGCGCTCCGGGATCTTACGTTCGGTAGTTGGTTCCCCGGCTCCCAGGCTCCTGCGGGGACCTGCGCACTGTCCCTCCGCTCCCGGCTCCTGGCTCCCAGACTTCCGCGGCTGGTCTCCCGACCCCCACCGCTGACCCCGCCCAGGCTCATCCCCCTCCGTGGGGCGGTCCTAGCTGGGCCCAGGGCGGCGGGGACCTCCCGGTTCAGTCCTTACCTGAGGGACCCGGGGCAGTCTAAGGCTCTCGAAGGCTCCGCGTCTGCCCTGGAGCGGGCGACTCAAAGTGCAGGCGTGGCGCCACGTCCGCGGACTCCTCCGCGATCCCGTGCGGTGACTTCCCTCCGCAACTCCGATCTGGTGGTGACGGCTGCAGGACCCCGCATATGCAAAACCACCACTGAACGGACACTTCTTTGAAAGGGGGAGTTTGGGCGCATGCGAATCATATCTCAGTAAAGCTGCTTTTATGTAAGATAGTGGCGGCGAGATTGTAAGCTGACTCCTTAGAATATGAAATCTAAGACACCGTAAAATATCTCAAAGTACAGTGCGCACACATGCAGCTGATAAACAACTAAGTTACAGAGTCCAGCTCAGCAGGGCAAACGTGGGGCAGATGCTGCTTCCTCGGGGCCAAAAGCCATTGGCACAGAGCAAAAGAATGGGTATAAGGTGCTCTCTGGAGTACGTTGTATTTTAAAAATTTTAAGAACCAGAGCTGTTCCTCTGGACAAGCTTCTGGGGAGTTTTCAGGAACATCAAGTAGAATGAAAAATGATGTGTGAAGGGGACAACCCTGGATTAAAAACTAGATCAATTCCTGATTCGCTGGGAAGGAAACAGCAATTCTTTGTGCTGAAAACGAACACTAGGAATCAATCATGCGGAAACATCAGACAAGCCCCAGATTAAACCGCATTCCGAAAAATAACTGGCCTGTACCCTTCAAAAATGCCGAGGTCAAGAAGTGTCCGTGTCAGGAAGGACGGGGCGTGAAGCACGGACACGGATTGCAATGCTCTGTTCGGGCTGACGCTGGACCAGAAAGTCCCTGTAAGGAGTGTTATTGGGACGATTGCTGACATTTGAAGAAGGTTTGTAGATTAAATAATAGATTATATTAATGTTTCATATCTTGATTGTGAGAATTGAATTTTCCTAAGTGAATATCCTTGATCTTAAAAAATACACAGTGAAGTATTTAATATGTCATTCTCTCTCTGTCTAACCCCCACCTCAAGCTTTTCCCTCATTCTTACTCCCCACGGGGCCCCCCCGGGCACTCCTTGCTCTGTGGATGCCCACCAACACATTGCCAACGGAAAGGTGGTTGATTGCAGCAGCCCTTTTGTGTATGTTACTGTCGTTAACTTCTCAAAAGGGCGTATCACCCATTCCTCCTTACAAAGCTATCATCTATTTCAGGATGAACACATTACAAACCCACCTGACATCAAAAGGCTGGGGGTGGGGAAACCAAATGGCTACACTACAAAGTCTCCTGAAGGGAGAACACTTTGTGAGAATACCGGTTGCGCAGAACTGTTTCATACCCGTCTTTTCCTTGTTTCTATAATCAAGTATATTTACCCATCATCGATGAGCATAGGGTGCTCCGAACGAACCAATGAAACAAACATAAGCAGCATCCCCAGTTTCCGGAAACTTGACCATATACAATGGACAAGATAATTTATAAAGCCATATCTTGTGCACGGAGTCAATACAAATAGAAAATAATTTAAGATTTTATATAGACTTCATATTTTATAAAAAGATGTGCCCTGGCTGGCGTAGCTCAGTGGATTGAGCGCGGGCTGCAAACCAAAGTGTTGCAGGTTCGATTCCCAATCAGGGCACATGCCTGAGTTGCAGGCCATGACCCCCAGCAACTGCACATTGATGTTTCTCTCTCTCTTTCTCCCTCCCTTCCCTCTCTAAAAATAAATAAATAAAATCTTTAAAAAAAAAGATGTTAAAAGAGACCACAGGCCAAAAGTGGAGTCACCTGTGCTAGGCCCTGCCTCAGCAAGCCAGATGTAACTGACCTGAGCTAACTGCTGTTTCAGTGTCTCCTAGCAACGTGACTGTTGCCCGGTGACTCTGGAAGCACCTGGTCAGCCCGAGTGAGGTCGTCTTCCTGACAGACCCCTGCCTTCCCCCGAAGGAAGGTGACCTGGTGTGAAACCACCTTTTCTGTTGCTATGAACGCCTTGTCCCATCCCTCTTTCTGCCTTTAACTGATTCCATTTTGCACAGCTCTTTGGAGCTCCTTTCTCTTTGCTGGGCGGGATGCTGCCCTGCGCATGAGTCGCTGAATAAAGCCAAGGAGACATTTAAAATACACTCAGATGCATTTGTTCGCAGTTGTAAATGAAGAGGAAAGATGTCAGATGTTAGCCTTTTAAGCACTTTTCCTATGTCCACAGAAAGGACTCACTGACCCTGAAATTTTTTTTAAATGACTTCACATCGACTCCCCAAACCCCTTTATCCCAGCTTTCTAGAGGTCTCTGACTGTACTGCATTCCCAGAGCTTCAAGGTCGCCAGTCCACAACACAATCTCGTGAAGCTCAAGAGCAGCAGCAGAATTTCCGTCAATAAGCTGGTCTGTAAACACAAAGTTCAAAAGCAGAGGCCTCGTGGGCCCTCTACGGGCCTGCCCTGGACACTGTCTGGTGACGAACTTCAGGAAGCGGATCATTTCGTGCCTGTTTTTGAGGGATGGGAGGGCTGTTGTGCGAATTCCGTGTTACATCAGGCAATTGTCTGAAGCGTCACATGGCTTCACAGGGTTTGAAGCCGACCAAAGTTTCTTCTCCCCACCCCACCCCATTCTTCTTGAAGAGCAAAACCCGGCTCTAACCCTTTTAGCTGATTCTTTTTATATTTGTTTATGTTTTTTTAAACCTCATTTTACGGACTATCTGTTGAAGACCTTAGCTGATATGGAAATTAGCTCTTCAACTGACCTCACTAGCTGGACTTCCCAGCCTCCTCTGCATTACCTGAGTAAGTTTGGTTATATCACTGTTCAGTGTTTTCATTATTATGAAGGCAATTCGGGCTGATCTACAGTAACAATGATTAATGGTCTTTTCCCTTATAACATGTTGTTCTGTAAAATTTGCATAATTATTTATGTACCAACACTACTTTAACACTAACCTGTTATCTAACCCCTTCATAATAAATTTGTTCACAACAGATTTTCTTTTTAAAGTTTTTTAAATGATTGCTTTTAGAGAGAGGCAAACATTGGTTTGTTGTTCCACTTATTTATGCATTGATTGATTCTCGTATGTGCCCCGACTGGGGATCAAACCTGCAACCCTGCAACCCTGGTGTATCAGGATGACGCTCTAACCAACTCCAGCCAGGGCACATCTGACTTGCTTCAATTTCATATTCTTAAAGTGCCTAAGGAGCCTTCTACCCGGCCTCCAGTCTGGTCTGGCTGCTGCATCCGGGGAACTCAGAGCTCTCGTCTTCACCACCACCCTCTGGAATCCTCCCTGCCGGCTCCTGTGCAGGGTCCGCACCCTTGGTCCACCTCCTGCCCCGCCCCCGTCTTCCTCTTCCTCGGGGCACTCCCTCACTTTGGAGGGACACATCCTTCAGGGGCTTAAAAAAAAGGAAAGATCATATTTATTTTTAGAGAGAGAAGGGAGGGGGAAGAAGAGAGAGTGGAACGTGGATCTATTATTGCCTCTCGTACACGCCCAGATGGGAACAGAAGCCACAATGCAGGCACATGTCCTGATCGGGAATCGAACCTGCAACCTCTTCTTTGTGGAACAATGCCTAACCAACTGAGCCATGGGGGTCAGGGCTTGAATGGCTTCTTTAAAAAGGGGTATGTGGGAGGCACAACCTCGAGACATTGAGTAGATAGCTCTTCCCAGGGACTCCATGCTTACGTATTCCTGCCTTTTGCTACGTGACTTCCCGTGCTCCCCGAGGATGCGTGTAACCCCCATGTCACTGATGTCAGGACATGTCACTTGCTTTGATCAGCAGAACATGAGGTAACATCTGAGTGGAAGTTTTACCAGCGGTGGGGAGGTTCTGCTCTTTCTTCCTGGAGCAGGAGCAGGCCTGTGGGGCCACCACTACCTGTACTTTGAGTGGCAGAGGTTTTTTCCGAAGTGCTGAGATTGTTACTTTAGTACAACGTAATCTCAGTGTGTCTGGAAATGTCTTTATTCAGTGCTTCCCATGAATTAATAGTTTTGGCTCGATACAAAATAAAAAATTCCAGGATGGAATCTTGAAGGCATCGCTCCACGATCTTCCACTTTTCCAGTAATGCCACTGAGAAGTCCAGGGCTGTCCTGACGCCTGAACCTTTTAAGAACCCCCCCCTCCCCTGGAAGCTTCCGGGGGTCTTTCCTGTATCCCCCCTTTCTGGGGTTCCAAGCTCATTGCTCTTGACATTTGGTCTTTCACCCTTTGTGCAAGAAACTAGGAGGGCCCTTTCAGTCTAGAAATTCACGTTCTTGAACTTTGCAAACATTTCTTAAATAATATTGATTTCTTCCACACCATTTTTTCCCTGGAATTCCTATTTTTGAAATCTTGATTCTGATTTTCCTCTTTTTCTGATTCTTTTTGGGTCTATTTTCTGAGGCATCTGCAATCCGCCCCCCCACTTTTCACTTCAGCTATCCAGTTCTTAATTTCTAAGAGATTTTGCTCTTTTTCTGTTGCTTTGATCTGGGTTCTCCCGCATTCGAGCCTGAGACAGTCTTTTGTGTCAGTAACTTACTTGGGAAGTCATCCTGGGGACAGGTGTTAAGGGCTGGAGAGGTGGAAAGGTAAGGGAGAAAGAATACAAGGATGTTTTCTGACCGGCTACTGCTCTGAACAACTGGTGCCTCATTCTATGGAACCTTCTGAGCAGCTTTATGAAATGAGAACTGTCCACCCAGGGGACAGAAAGCAGGAGTATTAGCTCCTGTCCCTGAACGGTCAAGGGTGACCTCACAGGCTCCGACTTGCCTGAATCTCTGGGTTGCATGTGCACGAAATGTCAAGGAGACTGACGTCAGACCAAAATCACAAAGGAACGCACGGAGAGTAAGAGACTCTTCTCGAGATCTGGAACTGAACTTCTGTACATGTTGGGAGGCTGAACGACAGATGCTGCATCAACCCAATTACTTCAGAAAGCACGTGCCAGGATGGAGTAAATGTAGAGATTTATTGGTGGTAGAAATACCCGTGAAGGGAGGGAGGTTGGTTAGGAAGAGCCTCAAGCTGCAGTGCATGCGGCTCTCCCCCTGCCTGGGAACAGCCCCGAGTGCAGCCCTGCTGTGAACCTGCAGCCCAGGTCGCAGGTGTGGTGACTGGGGGTGGTCACTACCATTTTTACAGCAGGTTTTCTTTTATTAGAGAGGGGAAGGGAGAGGGAAAGAGAGGAGGAGAAACATCAACGTGTGGTTGCCTCTCACGTGCCCCTTACTGGGGACTTGGCCCAACCCAGGCACGTGCCCTGACTGGGAACTGAACCCACAACCCTTTGCTTTGCAGGCCAGCACTCAACCACTGAGCCACACCAGCCAGGGCTGGGCCTTTTCCTTTTTCAAAACGCCTTATTGAGCTATAGTTGGCATGCAATAAGTTGCACATATTTAGAACATAATTTCCTAAGTTTTAGCCTATGTACACACACACGAAACGGTCACTCTATTCAAGACAGTGGGTATACCCATCACCCCGACGTCCCCCCAGGTTCCCCTGCAATCCCTACCCCCCACACCTCCCCCCGACCCTGCAAGGATCTGCAGTCGTCTGCAGTCACTTTGTGTAAGCCAGTTTGCATTTTCTGTCTTACGTAAATGAGACCCTCCAGTATGCATTTCCATGTCTGGCTTCTTTCCCTCAGTGTCACTGTTTTGAGATTCACCCACCTTGTCACGTGTTACCCATAGTTCATCCCTCCCATTGATGAGTAGTATCGCTGTGCATGGACATCCACAATTTCTCCAAAACCTTCTGACGGGCTTTAGGGTTGTTTCTGGTTTTTGACCATATGTGAAGAAGGCTGTTATGGACATGCATGCACGAGTCTTTGTATGGATGGCGGATACATGCACAGCTTTTCAAGACACGGTCGGTTTTCTGAAGCGGCTGCACTGGTTCCCTTTTCCACCAGCAGCGCGCGAGAGCCCTGGTTGCTCCGTGTCCTCGTCGGCACTCAGGACGGTCAGTCTTTTCAGTGTGAGCTGTTCTGATGTGTGCATGGTACCGTCATTTTAATTTGCATTCTCTTAACCTCCGATGATGTTAAACATCTTTTTATGTGCTTATTTGCTATCTGTGTATGCTCAGTGAAGCGTCTGCTCAAATCTGTGGGGTTTTGGGGGAGGTTGTTTTCTTATTGAGTTTTCATAGTTCTTTACATGTTATGGTATAAGTCGTTAGTCTGTGACTAAGTGATTTCGTATTTTTTTTAAAGACAGGAAATTTTATGTATTTTTAAAATATTTTATTTATTTATTTTTAGAGACGGGAAGGGAGGGAGAAAGAGGAGAGAAACATCAATGTGTGGTTGCCTTTCATGTGGCCCCCACTGGGGACCTGGCCTGCAACCCTGGCATGTGCCCTGACTGGGAATCGAACCTGCGATGCTTTGGTTCGCAGCCCACGCTCAATCCACTGAGCTACGCCAGCCAGGGCCGATTTCATATTTTTAAGACAGGAAGTTCACAGGCTAGGTGCCCTGGAAGGGGGAACCCACCCTGTACAACAGAGGGTCTGTGCCCAAGGAGAGTGGGTCTTTACAAGAGAGTGACAAAATGAAATGATATGAACTGCTAACTGTACCTAGAACCTCAATTACTAGTGACTTCACACAGGTTACCTTAGACTCGAAGGTGTATCCCAATTTGGGGCGTCTCTGGGCCACACTGGAAGAGTTGTCTTGGGCCACACATTAAATACACAAAGACGAGCGAAAACTGACGAGCCAAAGAGGTTTTAAGGAAATTTACGATTTTGTATGGGGCCACGTTCATGGGCACCCCGGGACAGGAGTGGCCCGCGGGCGGGACACCCTGCCCGAGTCGGCAGCATCTGATCAAGCACGTCCCAGAACAGCTCGCTGAAAGTGTGATCAGAGCCCAGAAACACTTCCCGACGTAACATGGACTAAACACGAGGCACGTCCCGAAGTGCACAGCACTGCGATTTTCACAGTGTGCTACGGTTTGGTGTCTTATTGTTTATACAGTCTTCAGAGATTCAATACTTTTACCACTTACCACCAACTAGTTCTCTCGATAATTTTATTTTTTACAGACACAAATAAACACAAGTTTTACGTTTAAGGATTTCAGTCTGCCTCCCCTCCCTCCCCCCACAAGAACACTCTGAGGGCAAACTTGTATTCCCAATGGCAAAAAATGCCATTTAATAATAGATATAGCTTGGCAGAAAGGGCAGATATTACCCATAAATAATGGTTCAATTAAAATGACGAGAAAACAGAAGAGCTAGCTTTTCACACCTTTTCCCCCGAGAAACAATAATCTTGACAATAGTATTAATAATAGCAGCCACCATTTATCGCGCTTACTATGTTCTAGGCACCGTGCTAGAGGCTTTATGTGGGTTGTGCCATCTGACCCTCAGGATGTCCGATGGGTGCTGCGGTTACCCCGACTTCCAGGCGGAAGCGAGGCTCACAGAGGCCTCTTGTCTAGGACCGCGGAGGCAGAAGGCAGTGCAGCCAGAATCGCATCCGGGCGGTCTGTCTCTGAACCCCCGCTCTCAGCGACGCAGGGCCCTGAGGACCCAGACGCCAGTCCTGCCCTTCCTGGCTGCCTTCCTCAAGTCGTGTTAAAAAGGGGAGGATATAAATGAGAAAGAACAAGGCCAGAGAAAAACTAGTGATCCCACTAATTGTGAGGGAGGGGAACCCACAAACTCGGAAGACCCCCAGACTACCCGACTACGTTCCTTAACCGAGAAACACAACGAAATTTACTGAGCAGTATCACCAGGCTCACTTCACAGTCTACGAATACAGTGTATCCCCGGCAAGAAACCAGTAATTCTTGCGAAGTGAAAAACTTCAAGAGACACCGTCTCTATTCACCTTATATTTTATTTCCTGGCCTCTCCGAAATGTCAGCATTCATATGGCTAGTGGAACTTTCCATATTAAAACGTTGCTCAACAGGACAACTTCCTAACAAGAGTATTTTAATACAGGAATCAACGTGTGAACATTACACTTGAGTGGTGGAATTCAGGTTACAGACATAAGATAAATATCAAGCAATATACTTGCGGTTTCACGGAAAACACAACAGCTGTGCAGTTGTGCTCGACACCCTGGTTAGGCAGAGAGAGAGCGGGCGGGGGCTGAATGGGCTGCAAAGGTTAAAAGTACGCGCAGTCCGTGGCCCCTCTGACAGGCTGCTCGGGGAGCCGGTGACCAACGTTCCGGAACACAATGACGTCGGCCCATCAGTGATCGCTGTGTTCACTTGTTTTGAGCTCTGAAAGCTAGATGCAAAGTCTGCTGGACGAGCTAATGCTACTGTGAAGTCCTTATATTCAAAATACAGTTGAAATGTGGCAAGTCCAAGGTAAAGCACGGTTCCACAGTTACTTTCAGACACAGCTGAGACCACACTGCCGGGCACGGACACGGCAGGTCCTGCTGGGTGAGGTTAACTCTGGTCACCGCACTTTGGATTTGCTGGTCACCGACTGCACACATTTTGTGCCCCAAAAGGAACCTATCAATCCAACAAAATGGTTACGTTTAATTTCTTTTAAAGATGAAGAAACGAAATAGGCTTTTCTTGATATCATTTTCAAATTATTGATACAAACTTACTACAAGAAACAATATTTTGCCCAGCATCAAAGAATCTGCAGAAAGCTTTGTTTAAGAGAGCCAACTTTCTTGTTTAATTTCCAAAAATAAAGGCTTTCTAACTGAAAGCATTTATATTCCTGGCTCGCTAAAGTAAACATTAAAAAACAAAGTAAAAAAAATGACCTTTCAGCTTCTGAATAGGCCACTAAGTTATTACATAAAGTATTTTCTGCCACAACACTTTCTCAATCCAGGAGATTTACTTCCTACAAATGTGGTAAACAGGCTGTGTCGCAAACCATTCAGTCCGTTTCCATGGCAACACTGCGGGATTCCTTGGCTACCATGAGTCGCATCAGTTGACTGTGGAATTTCTCAATCTTCTTCACATCTTGAGCTTGGTCTGTCCTGTACACCAAACACTGTCAGAGAGTTTAAAGGCACACGTTAACTCTGTACAAGTAGACTGTCAGCAATACCAACTGTCTGACTGGCTGGGTAAAAACCCGAGCTTTTGCTACCACTGTCTTTGCCCTGTTCTCCCTGGGGGCCATTCTGAGAAAACCACATTTAAGTTTCCAAGCCTCCAGCAATTGCATTCCATAAACATCACTGCTGTGGATCGAAAAAACTCAGTGAACTCTACCAGAAGCTTATAAAAAAATACCCAGTTAAGTAATATGTTAAATCCTGCTGTGGTCTGATGGGAAGAACTCAAGCCTCGAGCTTTTAAGTAATAGAGGAAAAAAAACGGATTACCAGGGATGCGAGGGTGGGGTTTATATTGAGTGACCAGGAGCCACAGAAGATTTTTAAGGGGGTAGTAACGCTCAAACCCGCAGTTTTCGAGATCAAGGCCAGCAGCAGTCTAGGATGGCGAGGATGAACGGAAGCAGGGACACAGCCAGGAGACTACTCTAACAGTCCAGGCAAGGGATGACTACCCTACACTTGAGAGTGCCCGTGAGGATGGAGCATTGGTTCCTGACAGGCACTGAGTGAGGGAGCTTGAATCGTTAATCCCCACATGCCTAAAAAAGTATATGGAATGGACCACAGGACCAAACACGAGTTTTTCAAGTGAAGGAAGAGTGGACAAGAGAACGAGGGAGGGGACGCAAACAGGGAGCGCAGCGCAAACCGGAGGGCAGGAGGAGGAGCCGGCTGGGGGAGGAGCCAGTTGGAGAAGGGGCGGAGAGTCCCATCTGGACAGGCTAATTGTGAGGAGCAGTGAGGTCTGGACACTCAACGTGGAGCTAGTCAGGGCATCAGAAAAAAATATGAGCTGAATGTACAGATTTGGCAATAGACAAAGATACAGGCAGTATTGAACTTAATGACCAAACAGACTACTCCAAAGAAGTGGTACGAAAAAGACAACCATGGGCAGAACCCCAGAGCAGCCACTACTTCTGGGGGCACATCAGTGAAGCAATGGGCAAGGCATGAAACAGAAACACAGCAAAAGAAAACAAGATAAAATGGAGCCACGGATTCCAAAATAACGTTTTCCAGGAGAGCAGTTTTCTGCATCGAAAGCAGCGAGGCGGTGAAGGCAGCGAGAACCGGCGAGACAGCAGGGTATGCGCGTCAAGGAGCCACCACCGAGCCCTCAGCTCTGGCAGTGCAGCACCCCACAGACAGCAGCCAGCAGGGGCGCAGCAGTGACCGGGCGCGAGGAAGCGACGAGAGCGAGCAGGCCGGGGAGGAGAAAGATGGGACCGTAAAGCCTGTATCTTGTGTTCGAATACCATCACCCACTTGTCACATGCCCATAAGGAAACCTTTGTCCCCTTATATCCAATCATGGCCTCCACATTCTTCTTAAGGTTCGAAGAGATCAATTATTAAACCACACCTGACATGCTATCTTAATGAAGCAAGTTCAATGATTTCCCCAAGAGCCTATAAAAGTAGCTTCTAGAATGTGGTTCTTGACTTTGCAATGAAATGCAAAATAATAATCCTAGCAGGTAATCTGCATAAATTCTATGTAGATAATTTCAAACACATGATTACCTCAAACAAATCTGAAAGCATGCAAGGAATAAAAGTGTATACTTACGACTAGATCGTCTGTTACTTTCATACACAAACTCCCATCAGAATGCCTATATTTGAGAACCACACGTGCCTGAAACAAAAAAATTCATGTTTAGAAACAGGGAAGTCAAAAGGTATTTCTCATAAATAATTTAGTCTTCAGGTTGGCTAAAATGATCCTGTTAGAATTAATAGCTAAAACGTCCAGTTATCTTTACAGTAAACTTATCACTATTGAAATGGGGTAGAATACAACACTTCAGTCCATTCCTATTGCTACAATTAGGTTTGTTTTTTTTTAAAGATTTTATTTATTTATCTTTAGAGAGGGGAAGGGAGGGAGGAAGAGAGAGAGAGAGAGAAATATCAATGTGTGCTTGCCTCTCACACTGGGGACCTGGCCTGCAACCCTGCATTCCCAGTGCCCTGACTGGGAATCGAACCAGTGACCCTTTGGTTTGCAGTCCATGCTCAATCCACTGAGCTACACCAGTCAGGCCTATTTTTGTTTTAAGACATGAGGTGGTTTGGCATTTCTAGCCAGTAAAAACATATGCAGATGGGATCAAAGCATGCCACCTCAAAATAAGCCACTTGTGCAGAAGGACTGTTTTGAGCTGAAGGCAATTGGGACGCTGCCCTTTCTGGCTAACAGCAGGACACAAAGGAACCTCTGTAAAGGTTAATAAACGGTCCCTTCTCCCTAACCCAGAAGGGTGCTCACCGGCTGAGGAAACTGCACTAAACGATGAGTATCTACCACACATCCCCTAGTCACCTTCCCACGAGCTGCTCTGCCCCCCAGACGCCCCGAGCCCCCTTCTCTTCTCTCGCCTCCGTTCTGCACTGTGTCACCCTTTGTTCATATTGGCACACGGGCTCCAACTCTGACTGCGCCCTTCTGTTGCTTTACGACCTCCAGTTCACATGTAACAGTTCCCCCCCGTGTTTATCCGCCTTTTGTCGGGTTAGTTTGCAGGACCCCAGCAAGTAAACCTAAGAGAATAAAGGAGGAAGCTTCTCCTCTCTTACAGTGCCAACAGTCTCAGCCACGGAGCCATGACAGGAGCAGAAGGGGGCGGGGACAGCAGGGAGGGCTGGGTAGGTCCAGACCCATCCCTCAGGAAACCCGAGTTCACACGTTCCCGTCCCGCGGCTCTCAGGAGGTGCACCGAGGCTCCGGCGGCAGAATCACACCTTTACCATGACGGTACACGGATGCGTTACTACAGGGAACAGAGTTCTGCCTTGAAAAGACGTCTCCATCCACATTTTCCCAAATCTAGGCTAACTCCTATATTGTGTGCCAGGCTACACAATACTTTTTGTTAAAAATACTCAGTTCTCCAGAAACGAAAAGAAACAGAAACTTTAAAATGTACTAAGTGTGACAACTACGTAAAGTTTTAACTCTTGGTTAAAAAGAATACCCACTGCCCTCAGCAGGAGAAATGAGTTAAAGGGACAATGGTATCATAATAAGGAGGTCAATTTTATAACTCGGGGGCACCTAAGTTACCATGCCAGATGGCTTGGAGAGAAAAAGAAATCCAGACTCTTGCTCTCTCAGGAACTTTGAATCCCACCAACCAAAAATAACCAAAACATGAAAGAACACAAATCGGGTTCTCTAAAGGCACGCACAGGTAAAATGCCCAGAGAAAGCGAGCAATTCGGATTGGGGCAAGAGGAAGAGTAAAATGGTTTCGTGGAGGTGGCTTTGCAAAGAATCTTTTTTCGTTTAGGGAAGGTGGCAGGATAAAGGCTGAAGCCGCAGCAGCCTGCATGAAGGTTCCGAGAATTCTGCAGCTTCGTGAGGCTAGAGCGCAGGGTGGTGGGAATGGTGGGACACCAAGCCAGACAGACTGCAGAGAGGGTCGGCCGGTGGGCTCGGAGTTTGCACGTGACCCAGTTGTCAATGAAGAACCATTCTGCAAGCAGAAAACGGAGAGACCTCAATGCGTGCGTTTTAGACCGTTGTGGGGTAAGGGGGTGGGGGGGCCTGGTAAGAGGGAGCGGGGAGTAAAAAGTTGGTCCGCCCTGGCGGTACCGGAAAAGGGCAGCGAGACAAGACCAGGAAGGCGAGGCTGCGAGCGGGGGAGGAGCCCTGCCCTGAGGGACACGCAAAACACTGAATTCCTAAGGGATTCTAGGGAATTGGGGGCAGGAAAGGCCGGCTGCAGGGCTGCTTACGACCCTGAAATGATCCTGCTTTTGCCCATTTCAGGGCCTTAATGGGCCGTCAGTCAGAGAGGACGCCCAATCGGATTTGGAGGGGTCCGTCTGCGGTCAATGCCAGCACCTCCCAGGGCGCTGAAGAACCAGAGGCCGAGAGGTCGGTAGTGAAGACATCCTGACCTGGGCATGGAGCGCAGGCCCCGCCAGCGACTTACCTTCATCGGGTCAGCGAGGTAGAGTTTCTCGGCCGCGCGACTGAACTCCTCCCAGGTCTGGTACTGCGGCATGGTGGGCCCGCGGCGGGACGACAGGGAGGCAGAGCTGCGACCGGAGGCTGCGGCACCCGGCCCACCTGCTACCTACTTCCCACCGCTGCAGAGGATCGATACCAAGGTCCACCGCGATCAAAGATGACGGCGCCTTCTTGCACGAACGTCTCGTTTTACTGGATGGCCCGGACGCCCCTTGACCAATGAGAAGTGTGGATGTTGTCAAGGATGGGGCGGAGCCCGGAGCGGGTGGCTCTGGGAGCTGGCCCGGAGAAGTCGGGAGCAGGGGGACAGTTGGCGGCTCCCACAGCGCCCCCTGGAGCAGTGGAGGAGCGTCTGTCTCGCCACCCTGTAGGCGGGACTTCTACGGTAACGCCAGATTGGGCTGAAAAGAACCGTAGGGATTGTGCTGGTCAAGTGCCTCTTCTTACAGATAATATTTAGTATTTATGGAGTGTTACTAAGTACCAGATGCTGTTTTAAAGTCTTCATTTGTACTAACTCATTTAACACTCATAAAAATCCTATAAAGTAGTGCTATTATTACTCCCATTTTATAGATGATGAAACGGAACCCTCTGAAATGAAATAGTTTACCCAGTTCCGTAGCTTAATAGATCTTGGGCCCAAACCTCTTATTCCTTAGTGTAACGCTCTTTTCACTAAGACACTGCCACTCGAACCCTTGGACGCAAGACTACATGTCTTTTCTTCCCAGTGTTAGTTTGCTAAATCAAATTCTTAATAAAGCTTGGCATATTCCAGCCGACTTTGGAGAAGCGCTCAGGAGTGCTCAGGTCAGACCGCCCCCAGAGGGCAGTCTGGTTTCCCAGCTCTGTTCAGGGGTCTCACCTCTGCGCTTAGGGCTCCGGGATCCTGGCCGTTAGCCAAGTACCTGCCTCCCTGTGCACGTATTGGGTTGGCCAAAAAGTCCATATGGTTTTGTTTTTTTCAGTAAATAAAAGACACGTTTTTCATTTTCACCAATAACTTTATTGATTTGGATATTTTGAATATGTTGGCTATCTCCTCTGCGGTAGAACATTGATTGTTCTCAATTAATGTCGAATTTTGGTCACTGTCAACTTCAACTGGTCTACCTGATGGTGGAGCATCCTCCGGCCAGAGGACCTCCAGCACGGAACTGTGCAAACCACTTGTGACATGTTTAATCAGTCACAGCACCTTCGCCACCCACCGCACAAATCTTTTTTTGCATTTCAGTTGCATTTTAACCTTTCTTGAAATAAGAAAGCCTACTATGCCGAAAATGTGGTATATTTTTTTCAGTCTTCAAGACTAAAGTGGCTACACAAAATATTCACCAATTTTGATAAATTTTTTAAAAATGCATGCTCATATGACAGCTGTCACAATACAATCTAACAACACTGTTCTGAGTGAAGTTAAAGACAACTACGCGCCAGGAGAGCCATCTTAAGGGGAAAAAAAACAAAGGAACTGTGTCAGGTCAGGGGAGCACGAGAGGAGAATGATCACTTGTGGGCCCGGAGGGGATGCTAATAGTGACCACACAAGCTGACCCTCAATAAACAGGGTGGACGTTCAGCAGGTGGGCAAGGAGGTGAGCAGGTCTCGGCCCATCTTAGACCTGCTGTGGAACTGGTGGGGCGGGTGTTTAAGGAGTGGAGAGAAGAAGCAAGGAAAGAAGCCACATCGTCACTTAGGCCCGGACAAGAAATTTGAACTTGGTCCCGCAGGCAACAGGGTGACATAGAAGGGTATCATTCTTCAGTTACGTTTATCGAGACATATTTTACACACAATAAACCGTGTTGGCTTTCAGTGTACAGTTTGATGCATTTTGACACATGTACCCACTGGGTATATACCCATATGCCCATTACCACCGTCAAAATACAGAACACTTCGTCTCCAAAACATTCCCTAATGTTTGTTTATACTCAGCCTCCCCACCCCCACCCCTGGCCCCAGACGGCCACTAATCTGCTTCCTGCTACTATAAATTAGTTTTTCCTGCCCGTGGAAGGGCTTTAAGCAGATTAGCATGTTTACCAGGCTGCAGCTGCAATCCAAGCCTGGCAGCAGGGAGACCTCTGAAGATGGTCTCGCAGTGATACATGCATAAGACACTTCGAATTTCCAAGGATTTCGAGTAAGGGAATAGGGACCTGTGCCCCTTTCCTTTATAGGTGATGAAGAAACCAAGCCCGAGAAATAATTCATACTAAACAGATTGGCACTGAACTCGGCTCTCCACTGTCCAGCAAGTGGCGAGCCAGCACGGAAATCACAGCAAGAAGTGTAGGGTTCATTGTGATTTTTAGAAAATGAAACGAGTGGCAATAAGGAAGCGGGATGAGAAGACTGAGCTTGGGTGTAAGATCAAACCAAAGGCCCTTGTTCTTTTCCCTACATCCATTGCGTCTGGGATTGTTTTCCTGACCTTGCCATCCAATCCCCTTCCCACCATGGCGTTTTCCACTCTATCCACCCCCAGCCTTCAACTGCAGCCGCATTCACCTAAAGTCACCAGCTTGACACCGCTGACCTTCATGTTGCTCCATCCAGCAGTCAGCTCGAAAGCCTTTCTTGACTAGATTATTCAGCTGCATTTGAGGCCACTGGCCTCCCCTTGGTCCTTTAAACTTCCCAGGCCCTTTGCTTTTTGGATCCCATTCTTCTCCTTTACCTCACTGGCTTTTCATGCTCTGGCTCCGTCCTGGCCTCTTCTGCAGCCCCTGGTCCTTCAGGACTGGGTCTCAAGGGCCCAGACTTTGATTCCACACTCCATCATCCTTCCTGGGTTCTCACTTCCACCTCCATGCTGCGTGACTCCCAGATTTCTGCCTAGTCCACAGTTTCCCCCAGAGCTTCAGAATCCAAACACCTGCTAGGTCCCTGGGCTAACCCCAGGGTTCGATTTTGGGAGTTGAAAACAATTTCTCAGCAAGTGAAAGCAATTTATGAGCAGTAAGGGTGGTGCCTCCATTTTTTACTTATTTTACTATTGCCACTGGCGAAGTATTAGTAGCCACTCATATTCTATGTTTGATTGCCAGGAATTCAACAACCAAGCACTGCAGACCCTTTGTGGGCTGGTCCTTGTGCTGGGCGAAGTGCTTATAAGCTAACAAGGTCAGGGGCAGAGATAATAGGACAAATTCACAAATACCTGTCATCAAAGACAGAGAACGTGACACAGTGTGGGAGAGAGCGGTCTCACCCACAACACTTGTGTTTCCTTTCCCTGTCCTTTATCTTTTCCCAAAGGAGGAAGGTTTTGTTGTTGTGTAGCTAGAGAGAATCGACTGATTGTTTTTGAATTCTTCTGCTTGAAGTTTTTTGTGCCTTTTTGCGGTCCTCGGCTGTCTTTAAAAGCAGTCAATGCCGTGGCTGTTGCAGACTCGGAACAAGTACAGATTCTCAAATGGATTCTTATATCAGTGATCGTAATAACAGCCCACAGTGCTGCTGGCGTGCCAGGAACGTTGGCGTGCAGTAAGTACTGAGGGACCCCACTCTCTGCCGGGAGTCAAAGGAGCCCTGTTCCTCTCGTCCCTTCTGGGTTTCATGGACTCAATGCAAAGCAGTCAGGATGAAACGGACCTGGTGAGAGCAGCCAGCCAGGAAACCGGTTTGCCCAGCGGTGTGTCCAGGATGGGGAGGGAAGGAAACCTAAGGGCCTTCTGGCACGGAGGCGGTCTCCAGGCCCAGTGTCCAGCGGAGGGCAGTGGTGTGCAGACTGTCGCACAGAGCCGAGTGTCAGCCTCTCCTCAAGGAAGTGGTCCACAGCAGAGCACGTGCCCTCACCTTAGCTGGGGGAAGGGGTCAGGTTTGGTTACCTTTTGCTCCGTCCCTTTCTTTTTCTTTTCGGACAGAGACGAGGCTCTTATTTGATTGCCAGGACCTTCCCAACCCGTTAAACTCATCGCTTACTTGTCCCGCACCTCGCTGGTGTCAGTCACGGTACCAGGTGCGCTACAGTGAAAACAAGGATGGGCAGGAGACGCTCGCATGCTAAGGAGAGCAGAGGAGGGCGCGCGGGGGGTGGGGCAGGTTTGCAAATAATCGAACTGAAGGCAGAAATAGGCGTTGATGGAGCACCTAACACCACAGGACGCAGCACACTGCGACTCCAGCAAGTCCGAACGTTCCCGCCCTCCCGCGTGCTAGGGGTGCGGTGGAGGTGTGACTGGATGAAACAGTTTCGTCTGGTGTGTCTGTGGGGGCAGCCCAGAGCTGACCCCCCAGGACCCACACTCAGCCTTTCCAGATTCTGCGATCCGCAGCCCTGGAGTTGCCGGAGGGACACTGTAAGAATAAGGATGACTTGGAGGCTGGGGGTGGGGCGGGGAAGGGAGGGAGGGGCCAGAGCGGAGATAGAAGTCACCCTAAGCAACAGGGCCCCTTCCCAGAGCCACGTACTAGCATCCTCGCGCCCTCCACACCTACGGCCGCATCCTCTGCGCGCGTTTCAGAGCTGCCTCACCCTGTCCTCCTTGCACCCCGCTCCAGGAATGCCGACTTTTCCATACTTTGGGCAGGTAATGATCCCTTTAAAGTGGAGAAGACTGAAGCCGAATGAACACACCTCCAAACACAACAGAGGGAAAAAAGCCTTGTTTTTTCCAAGGTCGTTGAGAGAGAGCAGGCGCCTGCGGAGCCTTGGGGTGGGAAAGGCCACCCGCAGTGCTGCCTCCTCTAGGGAAAGGTGGGTCAGGCCAGGTCGCAGGCTGCCCAACCCCCGGGGCACCCGGTGCTCTGTGCTCGGGCCAAAGGCCAGGGCGCTGAGATTCCAGAGGCTCCTGGCTTGTCAGTTTCATCTGAAACTGATTAAAATGAAATGCAAACCAGAGTAGCTGGGAAGGAAAGGTCAGGATTTTACCCCCACCTGCTCCCCGCCTTCCTCCTCAGCACACTGCGCCCTGGCCTGGGTCCCGTCACCGCTCAGATTTCCCACAGGCCCGCAGAGCCGGGAGAATGGCCCCATTGTGGACGAGACAAACCAAAATAGCAGCATCTTCTGTTCTCTGCCTCAGGGACGTTCACTTCAAACCCCAAAGTCCCAGATGTGGACGACAATGGCCGTTGTTGTTGCAAATTAGGGATCCTGGAACAGACGAGGGGCAGGTAGTCGGAAGGCAGCCAGGGCGATGGGTTGGGCCGTGGGGAGAGAACAATTAGGCAGTCA